CAAAATAAATAAATTATTAAAAAATACTCTAATTAAATTCTGTTGAAAATGTATCCTAAAACCTTCAAAACACAACATGGATTATGGCGAATTGTGACAAATCTGTGTCTGTAAAGGAGTGAAACCGGAATATTTCATTTACATATTTTCAACCTACTAACCAGAATTTGTGCCCCAAAATTCTGTTGACCAAAAAAAATTAGTCTTGCCAGTAAAAGGTGTTAATCTAGGCTGTTCCAAGTGAAATAATCTTTTAAAAGAATCATGGTTTTGTGTGAACGTCCTTTTAACTGTTTATAAACATTTCCAACACTAACTGCCCAGATTACATGATTTCCGAAGTAGCGGTTTGCATTTACTTACCCATTTCTATGTAAGTCGGTATAAGATCACAGTAATCAACATCACTAAACAAAGTAATTCAGCAGCTAGGATATTACAACTATGAGCAACTGAACAAACCCAGCACTTCACTGGGCATTGCTATAAACAGGCAACATATACAGACATGGTACACACAGCCCCCACATCATCTACCTTCGCTCCTTCAATCCTCATCCTCTCAGAGGATACAGAGTACAGCAAGGCATCCAACAATATTACATGGTCAGCCCTTTACCATTGAAACTCAGATATGGTGCTGTCAAACCAAGGATCATAATCTGGACCAATCTGGTATTCTATTTATAATCATAGGATCCTGTCATGCCAAAGGGAGGCAACTCTATCAAATGGGCTCTCTGGGGAATAATCTGAGAAATATGCAACGCTACTGAAGCACACATGGTATAATAGGATTACAGCTGTTACGATATGGTCAATGGCAATGCAATGATATATGACAGCATATTGTACAAGACCTGTTCACTGTGCTGACCCCCACATCCTCCAAATATGAACATTAATAATAGAAATGTGAAGCATCTGGTCTTAATAATTAACAATATAATTAACTGGTTTTCAGGCTAAGAATGTTGAGATATTGTTTGAGAAAGCCAGCATTAGTGTGAAAATGCATGCAGTGGGAGTTTCTACTTTGATCAGTTGTGTTTTAACACTTAATTCACAGGCATGTAAAGAAGTATCAAAATGATCACATGATTACAAAACAATATAATGAATTCTTTCTTTAGGCCTGACCAATTAAATTACTTGTCTTAACTAAGCAAGACATTTTTTAGCAGCTTCAGTAACACAGATCTGCAATATGAACATATTGTGTCCAAAAATAAAATTTATAGGTACATGGACTGTGTTTCGACTATGTTTGTTCTCCTCAGAGCATTTTCCTACTAAAGGTCATCAATATTACTAATTTTTCATTTATATGTTTATTTCTACTTTTTTTTTCTCCTGCCTCTCATTGTTTTGGGCATAATTGGTAAAACAAGTGATGAACTTAAAATAGTATTTTCTTCACAACAGACTTTATATCAGCCTTGATCTATTTTGTTGCCTCCTGAATAGGGATCTGATTTCGATGTCTACTGGGGTTTAACACGTGACTGGTTTAAATCAGTATTGTTATCTCTAAAACGAAAATCTTGCAATTCCATTGGTTAATCTATATCACAGCCAAAAACAATACATTTCAATGTAGGCCCCTAAATCATGTGACATCGAATATTGACTCATCACATGATCAGTATTGACCTGTCATGTGATGAATACTGACTCGTCTGCTAGAAAACAAGATGGCATCTTGTACTAACATTTCATGGTTTTGCAGCTAATGGACAGTTTAAAGGCTTCATAAACATTAAATTTAACTTTGGTATATAGAAACTAATGATTACTCTTGACGAGGTCAATATGCACAAATAAGGACCATCGGACCGGACCACCTTAGGGGTCGGGTCGTCGGGTCCGTGTTTTTGCATATTGACATCTCCAAGAGTAAATATTCGAATAATGTACCAGATGTGGGATCAGACATAAAGTTGGGGTTAAAATGAACAAGAAATATTGGCAATTACTCAAACCTATTCATGAACATGGAAAGGGGAGTATATGTGCAGCTTACAAACGCTTAATCGACCATTGCACTTAAGACAGACGTTGCAAACGCTTCCCAAAAATGGAAGAAACAAAATAATCATTGAAATGAAACCAAACTGACACAGTTTACGTGAAAACCACGAGTTTCTCAGCCTTTTACAAATTCTCATATTGCACGGGATAACGGTTCCTGGCCATCGCCTATGAGGTCAAGACTTCCCATCATTCCATCCACTTTCAATATAGGGGATGTTCTATTCAAAGCCCTCCCCGTTTTTACTGTAAAGATAACATGTTATTAAGCTCATGGGTTCAAATTCAAATCAAATTTTATGTGACCAGATAATGTTTACTAATAAGAGCATATCAATCATTGGCGAATAACGAATGCTGTCAGAGGATTCAACATTAACAACACACACTCAGGCAGAACATACTGGAGTGAGTGAGTGAGTGAGTGAGTGAGTGAGTGAGTTGGGTTCAACACCGCTTTTAACAGTATTCAAGTTATATCACGGCATGTCAGCTTAATGTGGGAGGAAAGCCCGAAGTGATGCAGGTCTCAGATGTTTACCACTTCAGTGAAACCCACAAGCACGGGTATGATGCTGACAAACCTAGAAACATAATTGGGGCGAACCGGGTTTCAAAACCACAATCATTGGTTTCTGGCGTGCCCAATAGACACAACTCTGCACAGCGAATCGCGGCGCCTCAGACGACTGGGCCACTTGTGCCCCCAGAACATACTGGAAACTCATTGTGACAATTTAAGTACTTGAAAGACATGCTGTATCGGTGGTTAATAATAATCAACCAAACAGGCTGCGGAGGTATAATTCAATGCGTTTGTATTAAAATTACCAATTGTTTCATCAAACTTTAAATGTGAAATTCTATATCATGTAATTTTAACATCTTATAATTTTGTTGTTGTTAAGCTCAGGGATTTAAATAACATATTACTCAATCAGAATGGGTCAAACGTAAGCCCAGGGCTTAAATACAAACAAGTATTTAATGAGGATGGCCCACATGGTGTTCTCTCAGGCGGGCAGAGGAACAAAAGGATAGCTCTCCCTATTTCTCTCCTGTTCCTATCACTAGCTATTAAGCTGACTACAGCATGGACTGATTTAACATGATTTATGGGTGTCAGTATTTAGCATTTTAAAAATAACACACTTATAATAAGATGAGTGATGACTTCAAAGGGGATTTACAAAAAGTTTTAACAAGTTAAAAAAACAAAACCCATTCTACAAACATACAGAACTGTTCATTGGACAATGTTGCCTTTTACTCACAGAAATTCACCCTTTACAGATTAGTGAGTGAAATTATTTAATGCCACATCATCAATTTTTCATCTATTCCCCTTAAAGATCTGCAGTGAACAAAAGTCTCCACAATTAGTTCTGATTCTGGTTCCATGGTTTCTTATAATACAAGACCACTTTATTTCCATTTTATCAAAACATCTGACCTAAAATGATATAAAAATAATATTAAAAACATGCTTACTTTGAACAAATATTTGGTAAGTATGGGTTTGGTTTTTTTGGTTTTTTGTTGGGTTTTTGTTGTTTTGTTTCGTTTTTGTTGTTGTTGTTTTTGTTTTTCTTTCTTACAAGAAAACAAATTGGTCAGGCCTGAGAACTATCATACCTAATCTCAATATCACACAACATCTGTAGAGAGGTATCAATTCTGAGTTTAAGATCTCAAATGTGGCAGCTTTAAGGCTTTGCTTCAATGTTCAATCACATATTTGGGTAAAAAGATGGACATTTCACTAAATATAAAACTTCTATTTTGTAACATTGACATCCAAACATGCAGACTGACAAGAAGACAACAGAAATCTCATCACACCTACAGAATACAATTGTTTCTTCCACTCAGTGGCCATAATAAATGAATAATTAGATTTTCATCTCATCCTCATTCACTGTTGCCTTGTTGTTTACTTGATGTAATTAGGACAATATGGTCAGGCAACACTCAGCACAGGGCTATAACACAAGGTGGTGAATCTGACCCTTGTGCATCCCCTGCTGATCAGCACTTGCCATTCGAATGTCTGCCTCACGTCTTGCTCATGTACACATTTGCCTTGGCCAGTTCTACAAATGATAAAGCCCTCAGTCTCTTTTTCTTAATAGAAAAATCTAATAATTAATTTATTGTGGCCTATTGCTGTGATTTTCACAGTTCCAAAATAACAACATGAATAATATCAATTGTTTGACACTGCATGGGAAACACGCAGCCAAGAATAACTCATCAAACTGCTCGATCAAGAGGCAATCACAATGTCCCAACACTTATCTAACAGTATATACCTCCCTAATGAAGTTCTAAATGCACATGGATGCTTATTAGTTTAATACTTATCCTTAATTGAAACATTTATTTAAAGAAAAATATGAACATTTCAGAATAATTTTACAGAGTTACTTGATAGGTCAACAGATCCTACAGAAATGTTCTGTCACCAGCCAAGTATCATGAGATACACACAAGCTTAATCCATGTACCGGTTATACTAAACAGCCATATTGCATAACCAAAGCATCCTCGACTATCATATCTCCATTCATTTTGAGTCTGGTTCAAAAGTCATGATGCTAAAAATAGCACCCAATCATGTGACTCTGTTATTCCACGATAGAAGCAAGAGGTGATATCAGTCAGAACTCTCAGACTACAAATATCTTGAGGCAGTAAGGACTACGCTTCCCATCTTGATGTTTGGCTAACTATTTTTTTCAGCTAAAAGTCCACTTGTAGTATTCTGATTCGAGGAAATTATCCAGTGCTTGCTTGTACGAGGCTGTATCTTTGATAATTTATAGTGAGTGAGTTTAACACCACTTTTAACAGTATTCCAGTTATATCACGGCATGTCAGCTAATGTGGGAGGAAAGACCGAAGTGATGCAGGTCTCAAACGTTTACCACTTCAGTGAAACCTACTAGCACGGGTATAGTGCTGACAAACCTAGAAACATAATCGGGGCGAACCGGGAATCGAACCAACAATCATAAGTTTCTGGCATGCCCAAGTGATGCAATTCTGCACAGCGAATTGTGGCGCCGTAGACGACTGGGCCACCTGTACCCCCTGATAATTTATAGATCTATACTGAACTAACATTCAAAAGGGAATTTTTATTGGTTGATTCAAGCTCATGACAAGAGAAATCCTGTCCTGTAAGTTAGTGATGGAGATATTCTAAGTCGAGGGTCTATATCTCCCAGAAGGAGATAGGATAATCGAGGATGAAACCAAAGAAAATGACTACACACCTGATCCAAACAGATTAAGACAATATTTGCTACACAAGTCTTAGAGTATGGTACATACAATAAATTGTTTAAATCCTCTTTATAAATAAAAGTATCAATTTGTATCAATACATGACCGTATATGTTCATACATGACAATGTATTGATACTTAGACGAACTGTTACAGGCCTACAAGGAATTGCAAATAAATACTTTGATATTCAGCTATGTTGGTATTTATTCATGATTCTCTATGACATAAAAAAATAATAAAATACAATTAGCTGGTTTATCAACCTGCAACATGAAAATGAGAAATGGACCATGCTGACTTTGTACACTTCAAAAATACAAGGCATGCTCCACTGGTTAACATTTAACAGAAACAGCAACAAATAAAACAAAAGAAGACCAAATCAAGAGCCAAATCAAGGTGGTACAAATTTCTCTGGTTAGTGAGGCAGCTCTATCAGAAATGTTCCAGCACTCTTATAGTGGGACACCATGAATGGGCTTCACACATTGTACCAATATTGGGAATCAAACCAAGGCCTTCAGCCTGAGAGACAACAGCTTGGACCACTAGGCTACTCTACCACACCTCCTTTCCCTTTCTACATGATTGAATGAATAACGTCAATGTCACTTGGACATTTGTCCACATTTTGCAACATGGTTTCAATTACATTAAGATAATTTTCTGAAATAATAAACAGGTTTCATCAGTTGTGAAAAGTATTAGACTTTCAATTTATCTTTTACTTGGGTAGTCAAGCTTCAGCATATTTCCTTGCTCATATCATGTTCGCTACTCGAAAGTTAAAGAGAATCCACTTATTTCAAATTACTACAGCTTATCTGTCATGGCAGGTCAGAATAACTATAGTTATTTGAAAGGATCAGATGTTCTTAAACTTCCTTTGAGTAGAATACGCCATTAGGATATTGTTGTTGTCTTTACATGAAAGAAAATAATGAAAACACTGCTGAAGGCATTTCTTGCCCATTTGCAAATAGATTGGAAACGAATCTCTCTACATGAGGTATTGATGAACTGAACACATTATCACTTTTATGTCAAGTTATAACCACAAACACAGATCCTCACTTGTCAATACTTCAAAGGATTTAACTACTTCAACCACTGTCATGAGGATATTCACAACTAAAGTAACCTCTTTATCAAATTACCACTCATCAAATAGAGCAATCTCATTAAAATCAGATCTTTCACTCCCATACGATACCTTTCTAATCACCATATCACTGTCAAGGATTCTTAATTCTCAGTACGAGTGAGTGAAGATTTTGAAAATGAAGTTAAATAAATATATTATATTAATAAATATTTATAAAATAAATTATATGTGGACATTTTATATACCCTCTCGTTTCTGAGCCCCATGGCATCTACTCCCGAAACAAAGGGGGAACCATTGAAGTAATATTGGTGCTGTGAATGGGATCTGACTTTAAGGAGATTGCAATAGAGCACTTATATACCAAGTCATTATTCAGGTTATACATCACTTGATCTGGCAATATGAAAACTTATTATAGACCCATCCTTGTCGTATTAGAATGTTCAAGTTTAAGTTGTCCATTTAGGAATATTTCTGTCACAAATAGTTATCTCCCTTACCTTCGTATAAGTAACCTAATATGTCCAACCTGTCATCACGGCTAAAGTACATAGTTCTATATCTCTTCTCTAAGAATATCAATATTTACACATTAGATGATCAAAGCTCGACTTGCACAAAGGATGTTTATATTCCTGCCTCAACCCTTCATAATGAATAGACTGCCCTGGCTTCAAAAGAAGGGGATGGTCTACTACTCTTGTAGGTATTCCGGGTAGTAAAGGCCTTTTTCCTTTCTCATGTCTCTTTGAGCACTGATGTAAAGTGTTCATTAATGCACCGAGGTTTTATAACTTAACAAAATGTGGTTATCTCCCTTTGCAGAAATATCACCACATGCTGTAGTCAAAGTCATCGCCGGCAAATACGTAAAAGTAGCCCAATATTGTGAGAAACACAATCACATTCCCAGACAGCACCAAGCCACATGCTCCCCACTGAATCTGAAACAAAGAAAGGATTATATTTAAGATGCACCTTGCAGAAATTTGGCTAGGCTTCTACGCTGCATTGAACAGTATTTTAGTCATATCAAGGTATGCCAGCTTGAAGTGGAGGAAAGCCAAGAGAGCAACAGTTTGTACATACACAAGTATGGTGAACCAACAAGCAGGGATCATAATCAGGGAGAACCTGTGATCTAACCTAAAATCAACGGATCCTGACACAATCATGGGACATAACTCACAGCAAACTTTAGTGTCTGCCTCCAGTTCATTGTGAAGCAGATTTGTTTATTTTTTCTGGAAGACATTTAATATTCAGACCATTGTCAAATCATAATTCTAAACAAGTCACCTTCATATTTATTATCTTTACATATCATATCATATTTTGTAAGTGGGAGAATTTGGTTAAACACAGATTCAAACAGTCTATCAGTTATATCGCAGCATGCTAATAATGAGAGGACACCAAGCGTTATGCAGATCAGACATTTTCCCATTTGGTGAAACCATCGAACATGTGTAAATGGACGAATCTATGATTCCAACACACGACCAGCTGATCCTGTCACAGCCAAGGGATGCAACTATTGAGCAGGTCATGGTACTTTAGACAAATGGTCAGCTTGTGCACCTAAGAAGGCTAAGGAACAACACTCACAATCCCAGTGTGTGCCAGTATGACAGGCAGCCCTATGGAGGACACCACGACGCCCGTCGTGAGGAAGATACACAGCTCCGAACATGCACTGCTGGCTGAGTCAAAGCTGCTGGCCAATCGTCTGGCAATAACTGTCGGCACCGGGCACAGGAAGTAGAAGAACAGTACAAACATAGGCCACCAGTTGCTGCAATGTGGAAAACAGGCAAGTAAAGTGAAAAGTTTGGATAAAATCTCAAAGTATGACTGCACTGCTATTAACTATTGGACTGCAATATAGTGGCTGCAACAATTATATGATATGGGTTAATAAGTTTGGTTTAACGGCGTCGTAAAACAGTATCTCAACTATATCACAGTTTGTCAGCTTGATGTGAGGCAGGTCTTAGACGTTTACCACATTGGTGAATTCCATGAGCACAGGTATGGCAATATAAGCACAATTATGTCTCTGGGCAGTGGGACGAGGCCGCAAATAATTTCGAGGGGTGGCATGTAAATATGTACAAATTAATTGAGATACTGCAGGTTGAGTAGGGTCATAGTGCGATCACAATCCAGGTAGTTTGATGCCTCCCAAGAAGAGGAAGTATTGTACCTAGACCATGCCCTTGAGAGGGGACAGTTTCTCGCCAACCAGAAACCAGTAAACGATTATCACAATGCTGTTTCACATCTAGATGGACTTTGAATTGTGTAATGTAATGGCAGTGTGAAATATGAAATTGGACAAATAAGACATTATTACATACAGACAGTGCTCATTCCTCTTATCAATTTTATATCTTAAAGTAAACAAGTATTTGTCACAAAGTGACGAAATGTCCCCCGCCTGTATATACACCATAGTACCAAATATGAAGACAATCCAGTGTTTAGTTCTTGAGATATCGCGGCAACACTGTTTTCCAACTCCAAAAGCAGATTTGCCTGCTGTGACCTTGAAAATGGGATCAAGGTAACCAAAACCGACTGGTGTCTGCGGAGTCTGTATATACACCATAGTTCCAAATATGAAGACAATCCAGTGTTTAGTTCTTGAGATATCGTGGCAACACCGTTTTCCAACTCCAAAAGCAGATTTGCCTGCTGTGACCTTGAAAATGGGATCACGGTCACCAAAACCGACTGGTGTCTGCGGAGTCTGTATATACACCATAGTTCCAAATATGAAGACAATCCAGTGTTTAGTTCTTGAGATATCGTGGCAACATCGTTTTCCAACTCCAAAAGCAGATTTGCCTGCTGTGACCTTGAAAATGGGATCAAGGTCACCAAAACCGACTGGTGTCTGCGGAGTCTGTATATACACCATAGTTCCAAATATGAAGACAATCCAGTGTTTAGTTCTTGAGATATCGCGGCAACATCGTTTTCCAACTCCAAAAGCAGATTTGCCTGCTGTGACCTTGAAAATGGGGTCAAGGTCACCAAAACCGACTGGTGTCTGCGGATTTTGTATATACACCATAGTTCCAAATATGAAGACAATCCAGTGTTTAGTTCTTGAGATATCGCGGCAACATCGTTTTCCAACTCCAAAAGCAGATTTGCCTGCTGTGACCTTGAAAATGGGATCAAGGTCACCAAAACCGACTGGTGTCTGCGGAATTTGTATATACACCATAGTTCCAAATATGAAGACAATCCAGTGTTTAGTTCTTGAGATATCGCGGCAACAAACAGGTGGGACGTACGTACGGACGTACGGGACGTACGGACGGACGGTCGTGAATACTTTATCCACCGCTTCACGCTTTCGCGCGGCGGGGGACAACAAATGCTGGACGTACAGATTTATATTGCTTACACAAACACGAAAGGGATTATCCCTTGGCTAGTTGCTCCACAAGAAGCTGCTTTATGGTATCCAAACAGGAAGTTCATCATAAGAAGCTTGTTACAGACATTAATTGTTATTTTAATTACTTACAATGCCAAGAACAATGGTCATTTCACACACCCAGCAATGTATGCAATGTTATTTTTGTAGAATTAACAGCAATAGCAACACTTTTAGATGGACCACTTCCTGACGTATCCGTATAGCTGCCAAGTACAAGTCAGCCATCATATCAGCCAATGAAAACACTTGTCACAAATCACTAATGTGCCCGTAGCTTTAGTCCACGCCCCGAAATAGATTTCGCATGTGATTTCAGTACTTTCACTTGGACACTTCAATTCTTTCTACCAATATTGTGATGTTTTTTTCTCTTGGGATTTGACTATATATATCTGGGACAATTGATATTGCAACAAAATCGCAATCATTTTTTTTCACTTTACTTGCCCTTTAGGTTAGCGTAAAGGGCTTCTAACTTCTCGGTATGAGCGAGCAAAGCATTCAGATCAGCACATCTGATGCCTGTATCTTGAAAACGAGTTTAAACGACCTTTCTTGATTGTACATAACAAAGGATGAGCCATACTTTTGTGGATAATTTATACCTGAGCTTCGTGGCATCTACACCAAAAAGGAAGTACCATCGAAGGCATATTTGTGTCCTGCATGGGTTTTCTTTTGTAACAGGGAATAATTTCTTAATCGGAGTGGTAAAGATATGAAGTGTTAATGTTTTAGAAAGCTGACAACTAATTGGCCCAAGAACCCATGCAATTCAGTGAGATTGGGCAGACAAAGATCACTCATGGCTCATCTGACATGACCTTATGTGAAGGTATGTCGGAGTAAAAGATCTGATTTCAATGACATGGAATTTTCATCAATCCATGTATTACATGAGTTGGTTGTTGAATGTAGTTTAATGCCAGGGTCATTTTCCAGCTATGACAGGGTGGGCTGTTAATAACTGAATCTGGCTCAAGAATGCGCACCACTCCGTGCTGTCAGGGCATGATGACACTCAATGTATTCAGCCAGGTGACACATCATAACCATGTATCATCACTCGGCAGTCTAGGGACAAGAATGGCAAAACTGAAATTTATTCTACCAGTGCATAAAATTCCACAAAATGTCGGTAAGACAACTGGACTGGCAAGATTGCAAAGTTACCTGACCAGATCAAATGTTGCAAGTCCAGAATTTTCTAGACTTACAAACAAAAGTTACAAATGGTTAAACATAAGAATAGTGCGGTAAAATGTTAGTTCTCAGAAAATAACAATAAACTGGTGGATTGTCAAGTTAGCAACTTTAACTCCTGACCATCGGGTGTGCAGCTTTTCAAAACTGACCCTCTGCCAGTAAAACAGACTGTCTGACTTATTATCACCACTTATTCTACCCCTGAAGCCCCACATGGACCAACTAGCTTATGACTGTTTGATGGAGGTGAATGGTACACAATACTTACTTGAATTGTGGAAGGGCACATCCTAGAAGTAAGAATGTGATCCCAATTGCTGCTGTAAATGCCAACCCAATCAACCTGTGGAAGTAAGAGGTCACACTGAGCGCATGTTGTTTTACACTTCCAGCATTACTACTAAGAAGCTCAAGTCTTTGAATGGCATTTAGATGTGATACACATGAGGAAGAGAATTTATTGATGTCAACTTCTTCATTATGAGAAACATATAATCAAGAATGAATACACAATGCAATTTAGAAAGCGGTCAAATGTAACAAATGTTATATTTGGGATAACACTTTCTTAGTTAAGTACAGATTCTCGTACTTTTTTTGGTTTGAGTCCCATCCCATCCCATCACTGCCAGAGTGAGGCACCTAATCGTGATCACCTAAGTATGTGATCTAGACCACCAGTTGTCAGACTTTCATTTTTGTAGAAGCCTCCGTGGCCGAGTCGGTTAGATCACTGACCTTGTGTGCAAAAAAAAAGTACGAGAATCTGTACTTTACTAAGAAAGTGTTATCCCAAATATAACATTTGTTAAATAATAAAGAAGTTGACCACCATAAATTCTTTTCCTAACAAGAAGCTATTTCACAGCTGACCGCGAACAAACAAGTCAGAATTAGACAGAGCTGTGGTTGATAGCAAGATCAATAATCTACACCACAGGGGTACGAGGACATCCACCAGATCCTTGCTCCACAAAGTAATCTTACCACTATGACTGTTGTAAGTCTACAGTGACAGAAATTAAGGGGTTCACCTATTATATTTGAATCAACTAACCCCTAAATCTTTAAGTTTTAACATTACTTATGTCATTAGTATCACAAAAAGGACCCTGTGACATTTTTGCTAAATTCAAACACTGAATCTAGAGTTTGGGGGTAACAACAACTGTAGAGCTAAGGGTGCTTGTGAAAGGGACCATGGTCACATATTGTTACCAACTGACCCTATATCTGTTATCACCAATGGTTATTAAAACTATACATGCACCAGGTACATGAACTGCCGATAAACTTGAGCCACGCAGTTGGGATACGATGACATGCATCAACCAAGTCAACGAGTCTGACCACCTGATCCTGCTAGTCTTCTCTTACAACAAGAATGGGTTGCTGAAGACCTACTCTCACTCGGACCATCATGAGTGCATTGCACATTCATTATGTGCAGTATTTCATGAGTCAGGACTTATGACTAACATAACTTTTAACTCTTGCAATGCTTCAGAGACCTCATCATGGTGTCATTGAGGTGAAATGGTGAGTGAGTGGGTATGGTTTTATGCCGCTTTTACTCTTAGTAATATTCCAGCAATGTCACGGCAGGGGACACCAGAAATGGGCTTCACACATTGCACCCATGTCTGGAATCAAACCTGGATCTTCGGTGTGATAAGCAAAAGCTTTAACCACTAAGCTACCTGACCACTCCGAGGTGAAATGGGGTTAACGTCATGCTGGTCTTATAGTGCTAACCAACTGAGATATACCATGCTGCAGTTTTCATATGGATACCCCACTCAGACCCAGCATACTGACTCCAAGCATGTGGGTGCGTGGCTGCTTGTACTTCTTGGACACAGGAGACTGATTCTCCCATAAATGCCTTACACCAGGCAGGGCAACAACAAGTATTTGGATGTAAAGCTCTTAGGACTACATAGTTGCCATCATGCTATGATGAAGACATAATTAACTATTGCTTAATATCCCGGTCAGAAGCATTTACAGCTTTATCAAGACACATGATATGACAAAGACATGATTAACTATTGCTTTGCACCATGGTCAAAAGTATTACAGCTACATAAGACAAACTGTAAATAATCAAGACTAGATCCAGTGGTTGATAAGCAATAAAGCCATCAGAGTATGATGACATGTAATCAACCAGGTCACACATTAAAACCACCCAATGCCCATTTCAGATTGTTAATGATCTTAACAAGCATGCAGTCCCAAGTAACAGGGGTCCGTCCACACAGATCTAGAATCCCTACAAGGGGCTTTATATGAAGATTATAAAAAATATACTTACGCTAATCACAGCATCAGCCAAGTGAACAGCAAATGAAAAAAGAAATATTAACAACAAATAAGCCTCACTCCTTGGACAGAGGTGCACCATTTCCGATGAACATGATGAACAATGATGACTACTAGAGGCGGGGTCGCAATATGATATATATCCCAATATTATGGGTGCAACACAATTTGTATCCTGACACAGTACATTTTTTTCACAAGTTGATATTCTTTCATTTTATAGGTGAGCAACAAGCCTGAATGACTTATTAAATTTCAGAGATCAAAGATGGGATATTTAAGGGCAGTAGCATATTGGCAAGAGGGTACTGTGAATGTTATGCTATTTATGTCAAACCATGAAATACTTGAGAATCTGCAAAAGCTGGTGGTTGAACAGTTTCTGTTACTTTTCACATGTTTCACACAAATATAACTTGTAATGAAATGTATCTCATGTATGGCCATACAGGGGTAGTAAATCGATGTATTGTATCATGGGCCTTGTATCGCGATACAATACTGTAGCAGCGTATCGCTACACCACTAATGTATTCCACACTCATCATCACTGATCACATTGAATATGACATGTATGAACACCATATGATCAGCTACAGTTGTCTTCTACCTTATGACAAAGGTGACAGCCCAAAAAGTACTGTCACTGGTTCCTTCTGTTTTTCTAGTCTAGGACTCTGGGAATCATGTTACTGAGGACCCTTTGAGCCATACAAATTCACTTCCTGGTTCAACATATTCAATGTTAAGAATTATATGGATCTTCATACAAAACCTAACACAAGAATCTAACTCAGTGTTTATCAATTATATTAGAAATGTATGTTTGTGACATTTTCTAATAGTCTCAGAAATTCTTGACCATTGCAAATCATAAAGTAAAAGACCATCAATCTACATATATATCCAACACAAACAACTACAAACTGAAAAAAACAAGATGAACTGGTAGAATCTTAATTGTTAATGAGATTGTTAACAAATGCCAATAAGCTGTGATTGTCTCAAAATATCTGACAATGATGCTTGTGACAATGATGCTAGTGCAATTGCACCAATACACTTAAAAGATGGGCTAGGTTTTTTTCACTTTTATTATGATGCAAGTTGGCACTAGCCAGCAACTCTGATTGTCAATTGTAAAAGGTATTCGGAGGGTTATTAGAATTTCTTGCTTTTGAGGGGGTGTCCTTATATGTTATCAATATCGCCATTCTGATTTGTAAATGTTTCAGGTCAAGTAGCATTGCTGCACAAGGTATCTATGTATGTGTGATTAAATTACATCAGCACTGACAATTGGGATGATGACAGGCTTGACGATAAACGAAAGTTTAATGATTAAAAAAGGTATGAATGTTTTGAACACTGTTTGTAATATTTTGACATCTCCAAAAGTCACATTAAATGTCACTAGTCATATTACTAAACACTACTTTAACATTGACCTATAACTCCATTTGCATTAGCAACTTGAATAGAAATACCATTCCATTTAAAAATATTATTTACATATGGTCCTATTTCAAGTCTATTGTTAAAGTAAAACTCCAATGTTTTGTCATGTGATCAAGTACTTGACTGTTTACACCCGGGTAGAATGACAGGGTGTAAAACGGACCGGTGTTCATTTCTAGAAATGTTTCAATCTATAGGTTATTCGTGACATCTCACAGTTTACTTACACTACGTCACACTGGAATTAGATTTTAAAGTAGTAAGAAGAACCCGTGGAATATTTAAACATTATCTTGAGAGAAAAGTGTCATACCTCTGATGCCGGCCATTTTGTCAACATCATACACACACTGTCATGACGTCATAGATATTTGTGAATCTGAAGTATTATTCAAACTGGCTGCAAATTTGTTAAACGTTCCCTATATCAATTAAAATGTGTCTTTGAAACATATTTATATTCCTGATATTAAAAAGAAATATCATTAAAATTGTCTCGAAGTTTCGAGAAAACACGTGAACGGACGCCATCGGCCTGAAAGTTGCGTCTCGTGCTAAGCGATTATACAAACGATCCTTCTGACAAGAGTAGACAGAAATGGCTGATGGGGGAAAGTATGTACAAACTCAATTGTATTTTGTTTATCTGTGTTAATTTCTGTGATGTAAACCTTTGATTTGTGCCATTTTTGTGTTTGAACTCAAACAGAAGTTGCCCATGTTTCGTTCAATTTCACTTTGTCATCGACCGGCGTAATTTTCTAAGTCGAAGAAAAGGGTAAAAGAGAATAATGGTGTTACAAATTCATCTTTTTGAAAGACTGATGGAAAGTTTGGTAAAGTTAGTAAAGTGTAACTATTGTAAACAAAATGTTGACATGATTTTCGGGATGTTCATGCGGTGCCTTTGTTTCCAAATGAAACCGAAAGAGGGGAAAACAGCTGATTAGATGCCCGACATATAATTTGTATATTGAACGCAACAACCAATAGTTGGTTCTATTCTTGGCGTCAAATATATCAATGGACCGATCATTTCTACCAATGAGTAATGAGGATGAGAATATTTCTTACGATATGTACCATTATTTATACGGATATGACGTCATCAAAACAACGTGTCGGCCCAAGAATGGAGGACGTTCAAACTTGCTAAGTCACGTATAATTCTTATGTGTATATAAAAGCGCACTTGACGCTCATAGTCCAAAACTGATACTACTTAGAGGAAGGTTAAGGCAAATATTTTAAAAAGAGGAAAGGGGGATTGTATTGAAGATGGCCGACAGGTATGACCGAGTATGAGACAATGTTCATAATGTTGTAAACACTTGTACTAGGATGGATTTCTAATACGTTTTTAGTTTTATGACTACCATAGGAAATGTTTTAGGTGTGAATTTTACCAAATGTAAGAATGATGCATGTATTTCTCTCCCTTAATTGTGTTAATTGTAATAGTTTCTTTTTTAAAGGATTATAAAATAAGGCCTCCAGCATGTCAACTGATGTCAAGATTTTTTATATTATTATATAACATTAATATACTGTGTACAATCATTAATAGACAAGGTATTTTAATAGAAATTGCTTATTTAAAACCTGATAATGTGTTGAAAAATCCACAGTTCCGAAGGTCCCAAATAAGCACATTAAAACATGATTAATTGATTGGACTAAGCACATTTATTAATGGGACTAAGCCATTTCTTCTTTTAAAAATGTTTAAAGGATCAGCATATTTCTTTCACTGATATTATAAAAAAAAAAAGGATTTTCTGGATTTGGTCCTCTTTGGCCGAGCAGAAATTTTGATTGTCCGTAATTTTGGCATAGATCTAGTCTCCGTTCAGAATGTATTTTAGAGCTAAAGGCAAGAAAAATGATTCCAAGATTTGACATACATATTTTAAGAGTTATGAAGGTGTTATTGTTAACATAAAAACTGGTGTGCACTAGGGCTGGCTATCAGTATATGTAATAGAGATCGATAATCGCTAACTAAGTATTGATTAAATTATCAATAAATTTCAGAGAAGTAACTCTGGTGAACGAAGATTACGTTGTGGACATTTGAGATAGAACAAAATCAGTTTTTCTGTCTTCTACTCTTAACATGATTGACAATTACAAGTCTGTTTCGGTAAATCTATACTTTTTTCACCACATAAAGTTATGTCAGTTATTATCAATGACAACAATTTCATATTGATAATTGTGAATATTTCTTTCCGTCAACGATAATTCCAATTATCGGTCTTTTTAGCTAGCCCTAGTGTGCACACCTCCATAAGCACAAAAAATATATTGAAGTCAGTTCTTAACACAGAACAATATCTAGACAATGGGGCATGTGCGTACCTGTCTAATTCACTCCAATTCTCCCTCACATGCATTTACGTCACTTAGGTGTGACTGAAATACATGATCCTGGGAGTGAATCCCTGATTCATCCAGATTTCATTCCTTGGTTCGTCAGTATCATACTCATGCTAATGAATGTCACCTAAATTCCTACCACACCAAGCTGACATGCTGTGCAATCACTGAAATATTGTTCCTCACTAGACCTATAAAACTGAAGCTTACCGTCTCTCAGCATATATGGTCCAAGCAATGGTGTTTTTGTGTTTGCTAACATTATCCTGATTTTTTTCCTGCATGAATTGTTGCACATGTTATCAAACTCATGTTATGCTCATTAATTGCAATATCTTGATTCACACAATTTTTACAACTCATGAGCTTAGACTGCTGAATGAAATATGGGATAGGTAGAAAAGGATATACTGCGTCCCAATGGACCCTCAATTGTATTCATAATACTAACACCTCATCAAGTGCAGTTATAGGTGTATGTCATTTCATCCATCAATCATGACCACTGTCCCCATGATTATTGATTCATTCCAGGCTCTAAAGTAGTTATCAAATTGTTCAGTACACTACACTATTTCATTACTTTACGTTACCCTCAAATTGCCTGCAAGGACCTTTAAAGTTAATTATTGGGGGTCCCTTGCACCCCCAATTTTGTAAGTCAAGGTAAAACCCTGTGGTATGCCTTTATGACGCGATACTAATAAGACCACTCTGTTTTTACAGTGATGATTTGGCCACGGCCATCCTCAAGAGAAAAGAACGACCAAACAGACTCCTTGTTGAAGAGGCAGTTAATGAGGACAACTCTGTTGTTTCGCTCTCACAGGTAAGAGATAAATTGTGATGTGTTAAGCGGAGTCTGATGATCAACATGATGAAGAAAAACTAAAATAACAAGACATTAACAATTATTGGCTACTGAACATTTCTGTTCTTGATCACATGTCAAAAGTCTCGTGGTTTTGCAGCCACATTGGACTGAACATGTTCGTCATGGATTTATTGTGTTTGTTGGGTATGCATCTACCGCAGTCATTTTTTCTGCTTCTATCAGCTGCAGTACTTTCAAAATTTGCAAATATTGTCTCCATAGTTCAAACATCAATAGCTTCTAACCGTTTTGAAATTTCTTGATTAGTGACAGATGTATTGGAGTTTGCTTTTGATGTATATTTTCTCATAAATTTTCTTTAAAAAATCATATCTTCAGAAACTTTTTCTAAAAGTTGCAAATTGGCACTATGCAGCTTCTTGGTATATTGAACATTTTTTTGTTCTTTGAAGTATGTCCAAAATGTCAAAATGATTGAAGACTGTCTGAATGCATTAATTGAGAAAAGTAGCTTAAAACATGTTATCATACCTCCAGTGAGTACAGGGTTAGAAATTAACTGAAAAAGTGATCCAGTCCACAGGGCTAACTGCAGCTGAACTTTACTAGCCCTGAAGAAGATCAGTTAGCCCAGACTATACAACAGATAACAAAGTCTGAAAATCATGTCTTCATAACTATTAAGTTTAATAAAGTTCAAGTTCTTGTGAGTTCATGAGGTTTTTGAGACAGGTACTGAACTCATACAAACAAAATAAGATGAACAGTAAACATCTTTGTTCTCATCACAACCACATTCAACTTCTAAAATTAATGCCACTGAAACATCAAATAACAACAACACTGATTCACTGAGTATTTCTCGCAAATTCTTTCAATTCATTAGTTTAACAACACTCTTCACAGTCAGATGGAGAGTTATCAGACTGAGCAACATCCTTTGCAATGACTAGAGCAGCAGACAACAGATTGTGAGCCCTCTCCTCAAGTCTGAGAAGGTTTTCTTGACATAGGTGATTTGCATACTTGAAAGATAGTGTTCCCGATTCCATAAAATCAGGTCTTAATAATTCTTAATATAACTCACAAGAGATTGAATTATTATCAGTTTGATAAGTCTGTTGTAGAATAACTAAATAAAAACAATGCTTACATCATTGTACATTCAAGTGTTCGCATTCATTCTTTATCATATACAGTATCGCGGTATTGATAAATCTCGTAATCCACACAACCTGTCGACTGTTTACTTATGCAAATCTAAGCACGATATATTTCATCGCATGGTCGAATACAGGACTCGTTGCGGTATGTCACGGCTACTTGTACACACGTTAACTTTTTTTATGACAGTTCCTGGGATGTTTTTGAAGTGGAATTACCCCTTCCTCCATTCAAAATTGATTAGAAAAAGAACCCATTTGTTCAAACGAAGTCCCTTGACCAAACCTCGGTCGTATGCAAAATTGAAAACAGGAAGTGATATACCATATCATCCACACAGCCTTACTTACTGCGGTAAGATTCACCAATGACAGGTACTTTGTTTACCGAACTCGGTAAAGAAAATCAGCATCAATCAATCCAATGAACAACAAACATTTTGTGAATCACATATTTAATAAATTTGTAAGCGTGCCCCACTACGATCCATTATAAATTAACTACCGCGATTACATAGCGTATCATCCTGCACGGTCGCTCGATTTCGCGGGTCGCTGTTACCACGTTCTGAAGTATACCCTTGATGTGCCTGGCTATTTTTAGTTTGACACAAGGTCAGGATATTTTCGACCAATCAGCAAGCTAAATTAATTACGACTATACCGACTTGCTTAATATGTGGCACCTGATTGGCTGAAGCAAAGCTATGGACCATACCGAAAATTAATACATGCAAAACCGACAATAGATATAGGTCAAGAAACCGGTTTGGGTATTTGTCATAAAAAGGGAGAGAATAATGAAACTGGTTTGGTTTAGCAAACGGAAGTGTTAATCAACATGCTTCGCTGTCTTGTTTGGCAACAAATACCTTTACGCAAAGACGTACGTCTTTGATTTACGATAACAGTGTCAATTCGATATGAAATTAATATAGCCCCAGTCACTGCGTCCACGAGACCCACACATGTTACGCAGGTGCGTTCAAACTTATTTTTGTGCATCCAAGACGCAAAAACGCGCTCTTCAGGCAACACTGCTTTAAGGTTAGTTAGCCACCCGGGCTAGTGTTCTGCGGATGTTCTTAGCCCTGTAGGAAATACTCTAGCCACGGGCTAACGGGCGAGCGTTAATTTCGAACCCTGGAGTATTGGCCCAACAGTGTCAGGATTTTGCATGTGACACCAGTATAGGATCATTTTCGATCCAGTCATAAAAATTGATAAATGCAACTGGTTTTATTTTGTCAGGTTGCCATGGAAACAAAACTTGATGCTCAATGACTTGATTTTCATAGCATTAGTAGATACAGACCTAGGGAAGATTGACGTCAGATGGTTTTTGAGAAAATGACAAAGCAAGTTTTGGCGGTTAGACAGACGGCGGACATAATTTTCACAAAATTTAACCAATACGTATGATACAATAGGAATGGGCAAAGCATAAACACCTATTACTTTGATTTAGAGTAAGTACAGCCGCGTCTTAGCTTGCAAAGAAAAAGTACACACAAAAATAACAAAGTCTTATTAGGGCTCCATGTCTGAAAGGCAAGTGCCTTATTGTAATTGTTTGATTTATTATTATTTTTATTTTTCTGCCATGTGTATGAGATCTTCCTCAACAACCAGTGGTCAGAATCACTCTAAAAACAACAGCAACGTCTGCAGCAATGTGAAATAGATACCCGTGCCAAAATGTATTTTGATAAAGCAGCATTATCTTCCAAACTGATGGTCCAATGACTTCCACATTTGGCATGCGGCAGCGCAATCAGATGCCGATAATTTTTTACTGTAAAAACAGTGTCGCTACAAGGTACTGTTTGGCCGCCATATTGGATTGAAGGTTTTGGTCATGCATTTTTGCACTTTTCTCCCGTTATTTGGCTGCCAAAATGTACTCCTGGAACTGTTACAGCAATGCATCAGATACCTGAACTAAGAACACTCATCCTTTGACTGTAGAGCAATGGACAATGGAACTACAGCCTGTTGAAGAGCGAACTCTTTCTTCTCCCTGACTAACTTATCATTACATGATCCCACGACCTCAGCTGTGTTTAAGCCATCAACCTAGTGTAAAAAAGTGTTCTTGGCTCTGTTTTCGGTGATTTGTGCAGTGCTTCTGGATCTCAAATACACTGTTTTTCAAACACCTGTAACTCGGCTACCACTGGTCTGATTTAAACCAAATTCCTTGTGTGTATGAAGACTATGATTGTAGGTTATCACGTCTTAAATGTAGCCACATAGCTTCGGAGACTATGGAGAGAAAAAAAAAAATAATTCATGCATAACAACATCTAAAACATATTTAACTTATTGTTCCTCAGAAGATCACTATCAGATTTGCCAATTTTTTGTATTTACATATGCAAATCGTTACTGAAGTGCAACCACAAACCCCATGTGAGATTTCCTAAATTCCTACATACTCCAACCTGTGATCTAACACGTTTTGAAAATTTCACTTTACAGTAAGAAAAAGGAATTGGATGACACTATAATGTTTTCAGAAACTTACTTTTAAACTTGTTTCTTCAAAGGATCTGCACAGAAAACATTGAATTCATTCTATATAAACGTCTCACATTTTTTGTTCTTTGGTGCATGTTAATAGTAAGGCTGCTTGGCGGTTATATTTGATTTCAGTTGTATATCAAATTTATGCAGTAAAGACACTAAAAGAAGCACCTCATAAATTTACAATTAACCCCAATTTGATGTCTTTCTGTTGATGCTAGCCGTGAGCTTTGGTAGAGGTATACTGATTTAATAAACTAGTACATGACCAAAGTGTTTAGGCTTTCTGAAGGTAGGCAGTGTTCTCGGCTATAGCTGTTGATACTGGCGGCTGTAGTGGCAGGTAATACGTGCTCCAATTGCCAAGGGGGCAAATAAAGTTACCTCCTTTAATAATGCCAAACTGAACTAGCACCAAAATAGACAATTTTTCGCAGTCAAAACGTACCAGTGAAATATCACATACCATATTCGACCCATTAAGCTCCCCTCCCCCAATAACTTCACAGGATTTTAAATGCAAGGATCGGAAAAAGTTGTATCTTTTCTCGTAACTTTTTTTTATCAGGAATAATATATTCTAATATCTTGTTAATTTAGATGCAGCTTTTACTAAACATATTAAAATAATAATAACACTAAGCGAAGCAGCTGATCGCTATTGCCTGGTATTATTTTTTACATGGAACCAGTCTGACCAGTCACCGTCAATGCTCCTGTGCACGTGATCGCGTGATTGCGAAAATTACGTGGCGACATAGAATCGTCCAACAAAAACAAATATGACTTTTAACAAATCAAAGTATGGCATGTCGACATAGAATCGTCCAAAAAAAACAAATATGACTTTTAACGAATCAAAGTATGGCATTTATGATATATGTATCCATTCTCTGTCAACTAAAGTTCGTTTCAAGGCGTCAATAGCGGTAATCTGACCGTGGTTGCTGTTAATAACGGTGAGTTGTGCGATCTTCCGATCACTTCACACACGATTCGCCCGAAATTAATTAAAACAATATTAAAAGGAATTTTGAATAAAATTAATGAAATAAGTTACAAACAAAAGTCCAGATATACAAAGAACACTTTTTATAGCCAGACAGTGTAATACATGAATAATTTGCGACTTCAGTATGGATTTGTTGACATGGTATTTCCGGTGTTACGTGCTCACAGTAAGGTCTTTCCATGGGGGAAAAAACATCAAAACTCATTAATTCGTGTATAATGCGCACTCCCTTCTACACAGCTGTGTTTTTTTTGGAAAAGTGCGCACTATTCTCAAGGAAATACGGTATGGCTTACTGATGAATTTACGCCAATTTTACTCTGAATTGGTCCCAATAAGCGCCCACCCCTTCTGTCTTTTTCTAAGCGCCCCGGGTGCTGAATGGGTCGAATTAGTAGTTAATAAAGACAATATTACAATCACATACAGTAGTGCACATATCTGTCCTCATAACAGGGGAAAATACCTTAATGGTAATCACCTCGAACCATTAAGAACTCGGTTTCATTGTTTAAGTTCTCAGTACAGAGCTCCAGATAAGCTGCGTATCTGTGTGAAATACACATCAGAAATGCAGAAATACGCAGTAAAATATAATCCAAGCATATCAAATACGCAACGAACATTACAGATACGCTACAAAAATAAAATTTGTGCGTATCATCAAAATATTGTGAAGTAACCCTGCGTATTCGATTAGCAAAACTTATTTTGAAATTATAAACGGGCATTCCGTCAACCTTGCCAAACTCCACGATGACAGTCACATCATGATCATTTGCCATCACACTTTCATGTGGAAGTATCGTGGTATTTTTGAGTCCTATAATGCTCTCGAACCCACACGACACCAGTTTGCAGGGACTAGATGAATAGTGTTTTTAAATATTTAACTTAAATACCCACGTGTAAAAACTAGTGGGTAACAGAAATTTGAATACGCAGATAGAATTACAGATACCCAATGATTTTAAAATGCATGGGTAAAATACCCACAACACCAAAAGCTTATCTGGAGCTCTGTCAGTAGAAGTAAAGTGACAAATTGTGATACATCGATAGATCGGGATTTTTTACTTTTCGATACATGTGTCTATCACAATCACACACTAAGTAAAGAGGATGAATTCTTACATTAAATGTATTCATTTAGCAACACCAAACACCAATTACTAGTGAAAATGTAAATATTTTCATCCATTGCGCCATCCTTAGTGTGCCTGGTATTTGTCCATCCTGTCTATGAAAAAAATGGCTTTCACTCCACACATAAAAAACACATGCAAGTATCGTGATACATATCGGATTGTGAGCAAGGTATGGTGATAAGTATCTGATCTCAGTTGGTGTATCCTCCAAGCCCTATTGTGAATGGACTTTCATGAATGTAAACCAGGATCCGCTAATATATTTCAGTGTAGCATGGAGCCAGTATTGTTGCTTGCAACTACTGTAAAACGTGAAATTAATGCGTCTCCAAAAGAATGCGACCACTGGCCCCTAGCCAAAAATGTGACTCAATATGAATGCGACACCCCCTCCTTTCAAGCATCAGTGGATTTATATCTAAACAAAATGTCCTCTGTCAGGTTTACAGGAGAATCCTCACCTTAATCCAACCTTACACTAATCCAAATACACACCAAATAGCACCGCTTATTAGCACTGAGTAGAGTACTTCAACTAAAACAATACGTGAGCGCTGGCTTGTGTCGGCCTTTGATGCAGTCGCAAAGAGCAAAGGAACCGTGTTGGGTGACGTCTGTCTGGACTTGCAGGTGTGATCAGTGATGACGTGAGTGAGTAGAAGGCTTGTCTTGACCAGCAGTGACAATTCACAGGATGTAATAAGTGTTTGAATGATATTGTTTATAATACTTGTTACAAGTGCTGCTCAATAAACAGTGATCTGGAATACATAGTTGTTTGTTTTCAGTGTATGTCTAAGTTGGTATTTCTGCTATCCAAAATGTCTTATTGTTGACATAAATGCGATGTTTAATAATGCGAGCCAAGATCACTTGCATTTTTTGCATTTGATTCACGCTCGCGATAATATCAAGATTTACAGTATATCACTGTATATGTTTTGTTGTTTTGTTTCCAGAAAAAGATGGATGAATTACAGTTGTTTCGAGGTGACACAGTGCTCTTGAAGGGTAAACGGAGGAGAGAAACTGTGTGTATTGTTCTGTCAGATGATACTGTAGGAGATGACAAGATCAGAATCAACAGATGTGTCAGGAACAACCTGAGAGTGAGGCTTGGTGATGTTGTCAGGTGAGTGATCAGCAAACACTGGTTCAGAAAATTAATTTTACATTCACCTGTGATCAGGTCCATCAGCTGTCAAGGCTTTCAGTTTATTGGTGATGGAGACAGTGTAGTCATAACGTAACCAGGTTTTCTGTGGCATTATCCATAACATATTCACAGATGACACCAAAGACGGCTACAGGGTGTGAGGCTCCTGTTTATTTGTAAAATGAGCAAGATAGACACCCTGTAATAATAAACAATAGATAATATAGGATATGCACATTAAAACATAATACATATCATATCATCATCAAAGCAATGCATCAATTTCTAAGTAAGGATAAGATACATGGATGAACAACTTCTTTATTACATTTTGGAACGACGTTTCAGTGTAGATAATTTCTGTTACATTGCTTACAAATAAATACTATCAGATATGACTAAATGGCTTATAACACATATTGGATAAAATAGTTACACATGTGATGTACTTCTACATGTATTATAGATAATAAAATTATATACAATGCACACATACCCTATGTGTGGCACAAGGGTGTGAAACGTGAAACATTTCAACCGTCACTGCTCATGATATATGTTCTGCACAAGAAAGAGCAGGAATAAATACTTATGCATAATATGTACATAATATGTCAATACTTAAAGCGACGACCCATGAAGATCTGGAGAAGAATAGGTCCTCCAATATGGAGTCAGTGCAAGAGGGTAGAGTTTGAATTTGGCCAATCACAGGATAGTTTGGGATGTGATTGATTTGGACATAGAATGTACGATAGCTTGGGATGTGATTGGTCACTAGAGGGCTGGACATTGAATGTTGGGATAAAAACTATTTGTTGGACAACAAAATATATTGCCATCCTGAAATGCCAACATACCTCTGTTGAATATTATTCAACAGAAACAAACGCTAAAATAGAAAATTGTTACAAAAAGCTAAAATACAAATATATACACACAAATATATTGACCAATATGAATTGTTATTTTAGCCTTTAGTTTCAACCTGTTGTGATCATGATAATTGCATAATTTGCTTTGATATTCAGTATCCAAGCATGTCCAGATGTGAAATACGGAAAACGTATTCATGTTCTACCCATCGATGACACAGTAGAAGGTCTTACAGGGTAAGTCTTAGGCATCAGTGTTACTATTAATAAATTATCCTAGGTTTCTCATCAGGTCTCAAAGTCTTGTGTTTCTGAGTTGGCTTTTTCCCTCCTTAACATTTGGAATCAGCTTTATGATCTATATGTGATATTGATATAGGAACCATTGATTAAAATATACATGACATAAGACAAACCATCAACGACCCAGCAGCTGTGCATGTTATTCTGTAAATAACCTACAGTATCTTTGTTGAACATTTTGAACACATTGAGTGAGTCGAAAAGTTATTTATCTGAAATATTTTCTAGACATTGTTGGTGATTGCATTTGAAGTTTCTTATCCAAAGAGATTTTGTAATTAAATCACCATTGAATCTTATAACACTTGTCCCATCTTGTTTCAGAAACCTATTTGAGGTTTATCTGAAGCCTTATTTCCTGGAAGCATACAGGCCCATCAAGAAGGGGGACATCTTCCTTGTCCGAGGCGGTATGAGAGCCGTTGAGTTCAAAGTGATTGAGACAGACCCATCCCCCTACTGTATTGTAGCTCCAGACACAGTCATCCACTGTGAAGGAGAGCCCGTCAAAAGAGAGGTAGGACACTCTTTGTTTGGATTTTGTCATGAGTGATGAATATGTTGATTTGAGGGTGTGGCAGTTGGGTGCCCTAACACACTGAAAGTTAGTTGGAATAATACAAGCCTGCCAAATTTAAGATAAGTTGATAGTTGTGCCCTTTTCCTTCCTAAGGGATCAATTGTCTGACATCATTTCCTGTAATCCATTACTAATCTTGGACCATATATATGTATTAGGGCTGCAACGAATACACAAGGCGAATACGATTCGTATCATGAATATAGGGTAACAAATACGAATATTAATTCACGAATACAATAACAAGTCATCAGTTGATGTATCATTTGTCATATTCAGCATGTTCAGTGAGGCAAGAACAACGTAAATCATTTGACATGGTTTGTTAATTTTTAATATATTATTAAATATATTATTCATTTATATGCTGCATTTATCCAGGTGACCAGTGACCACAATACTGTCAAATTAAATAGTATAAGAGTGTTGTCTTTTGAAGAAATCTATGCATAAAATATGTTCTTATGGGTATTTTTTTTATGTAAATGCATATGCTTGCATATTCATAAATATTCATAAATATTCAATTCTAGTGGCCACGAATAACAAATTCAATTCATGAATGGATATGGTTCGATTCACCGAATATGCGAGTGAATCGTAACAGTCCTAATATGTATGTACCGTATATCGCTGTGTATAAGGCGACCCCCACGTATAAGACGACCCCCCTTGTACACGCCTTCAAAATCAACCCAAAATCCTTTTCCCTGTGTAGAAGGCGACCTGGAATGAAGCACATCACAAGTGTGCACACAAACCTTATATATGCAATAAAAATATGTTTATCTTGCATTGTTTTTTCTACGATGATTGGTCGTGTGTGTAACTCCATCACATGTTGCCATTTTGTGTTTACACGGTACGACAAAATGATTGCCCGTAAAATAAAATTCATTTATGAAGTAATAACGTATAAGAGACAATGGTGAGTACTTTAATCGCCAATTAACTATGTTGTAACTAACTAGGCTTATATTTGCTTCACATTCAGCGTGTTTATTCCACAATCACTTATTCACACTGTCTCCAACAGTTATAATACAACTGTAAAAACAGCGGGAATTGATTTCAGCTTCACCCGTTATCATATGTTAGGTCACATGTGCAATATGCAAATGCTTACCAGTACTTCCGGCTCTCTACTCACGGATGTTGATTGTTTTACCGTGTCAGCTGGTTTGACAATCTGCATCGAGGCGAGGGTCATTTCAACTTTATTTGCAGAAATTATTAAACTTTATTCAAGGAAAAGAGATACAAATCATGTTTATGTATGGAAATAGTTATTGGAACAGTTATTTAGGACAAAATGCAAAGTTTTATTGTCAAATGCTGGGCTGGCTATCGGATGCCGGTTGATATCGCCAGTGGAAAAAAATTTGAGATCTTCGACTCCGTGTATAAGACGACCCCCCTTCTTAACCCCCTCATTTTAGGTACGAAAAACTTGCCTTATACACAGCGAAATACCGTATACAGATCTATATAGGTCATCATGTAGCTGGAATATTGTCGAGTGCTGCGTCAAACAACAAACCAACCAACCATAATTAGAATGTCATTCCTGTTGCTAAGACAAACATTGGTATATGTGATGAAATGCTGATGTAATGAAATAGTGTTTTAAAATCTTGATGTCCATGCTGTTACATATATTTTCACTGCTTGGGAAGTACCTCAAGTACCCCATGGCACTGTTTCAAAGGAACATGCAAATAACCATGATGACTTAGGAATTAAGTGCACTTGATACTACACCTTTGGTACTACAAGTACTACATTAAAGTATGTATCTTCAAGTAAGGCAAGTCAAGTAATGATAGTTCCAGCAGTCTTGTTTGAAAAACCTTAATGTCCCTGTTCCTCCTGGAGAAATCCCTGATGTTACTTCTTCAAAGCAAAATGAAAACAAACTAGGAATAAAGTTTATTTGAAATGATGTCTTTGTCACAGTGAAAATGGAAACAAAAATACATGAAATAAACAAAACAATAAACCAACATCAGGTGACTTTACGTTTAAAAGTGGAATCATTTTTAAACAACTTTGTCCAATCAGTTATGACTAAGGTCCCTCTTCTCGGTTTGTTGGGAGCACATGGTCTGATAAAGGGTGCATCATGACCTTCATTATGAATGAATAAAAGCTGTTCCAAAAAAATAAATAGTGTCAAAATGGGGGTAACGTAAGGGTCACATTTTGAGAGTACAAACGGTATCATCTGCATGCTACATGAACGATAGAGATCATGGGTACAAAGGGAGGGCTCAGATAAACAGTTTTAGTATGGTAACAGTTTTGACAAGAAGAAATGAACATTGAATTGATATTCAATTCCAATTTGTCAGCAATTTTATATATGATATATTTTTAGTGGGGTGAAATTTTGAAACTGATGTTTCTTCTCACAACTTGCCACTCATATGCACAATGTTTTGGCCCTTTTTATGATACTATTTTCCTTATTTACAAGTTAAACTCATATTATATTATATATATGATATCCAGATAAACATTTACTTTATTTGTTACTTTGTAGCACCGAATTCACAAGAATTCTGACTTTTTTTTAAGAATGACCCATATCTGATTTTCTCTGTGATTTCGTTGTTTGTCATTATAAATATGCCCATTATTCTCGTGGGCTTACCGGAGTTACTGTGGTGAATGTTTCTGGGCTGGCATCACTCAGGACTTTCACGTTGAGCTGACATGCAGTAATATCAGGTTGTTACTGAAGAATTGTTGTCAGTGATTGTTGAACTCCTTGTCACAGTTATTAGTGTTTGCAGTGAAGCGTGTAATTCAAGGAGTCCCTTTTCAGAAGCTAATGCCACATAGTAAGGATTATAGGGGTCCCAAATACTGGTTATTATTTGATGTCATTGTCTATCTGAATCCATTTTGTAAGCTATGACTACATTCTCTTGATATTTGCTGATGATGTTGCAGGAAGAGGAAGAGGCTCTCCATGAAGTTGGGTATGATGACATTGGAGGTTGTCGCAAACAGCTGGCTCAGATCAAGGAGATGGTTGAACTCCCACTCAGGCACCCACAACTCTTCAAAGCTATTGGTGTCAAGGTACGTTCACAGACTTGTCAACATCACAGACAGTTTTGCATTTCAGCTTGAGTGTTAGAGTTGTCAGGCCTTCTGGTCAAACTTGAATTGTAGTGTAACAAGGTGGGACTCTTGAAGATGTATTAACAGTCATTTGAAGACAAAGTCAATTATTGAAACTTTTTAAGTGGTGAACTGGTGCCTTTTGATAATTTGGGATTTTTTAAAAATAATTATTTCATGAGGACAAGTTGGACTTATACTGAAAATGAGGGTTAGTGCTCTATCCCTGAGCAGAACCCCAAAACTGTTGAATATTTCTTGATGAAACTTGCTAAACAGATCATTCTAGTGGTGAACAGGTGCTCTTTGTGGCTTCTGATATTGAAGTGTGAAGCCCATTTCTGGTGTCCCCCGCCGTGATATTGCTGGAATATTGCTAAAAGCGGCGTTAAACCATACTCACTCACTCACTCTGATATTGAAATAAACTGAACAGCAATATTTTTTCTTCACTGAACTTAATGGCATTGAACTAAAAGCGGGCTATGATGAGGGGGGAGGGGGGATATGTCATCTCCTGATGACTCTTGTTAAATATCTACACCAGAAGGATTAGAGTTGTTTTCTGTTGTCTGAGGTTGTGGTATTTCCTGCATCATTCTTTTGGTAACTGTGTTTTTATCAAGCTGACTATTTGAATTACACAGTTTGAGATTGTGGTATGAAAGAAGATAATGAATGCTCCCCTTAGGGAATCAGGGAATGAAGTTAATGTAGCTTGACCCTGATTACTGATTTTTGACTATGTTGTATACATTGCTTTATGATCATTATCACTATAATCTGCAGCCACCCAGAGGTATTCTGTTGTATGGACCTCCAGGAACTGGTAAAACACTCATTGCCAGAGCTGTTGCTAATGAAACAGGAGCCTTCTTTTTCCTCATAAATGGTGAGTGATTTGACATCAATATGTAGTCAGTTGACCTTGTTGAATAAATCAAATCTCATAAATGATCCTGATAATAATTAAGTGTCAAGAAATCAAGGATACCGTGAGGCATGTTAATTTATTAAAATATCAAAGATATTTAAATATTAGGATATCAAACATTCATTGATACTGATAGACCTAATGGTAATAATGTTTTGCTAAAATTTGTGTAAGTTCTGTCATCAGATTCTTGCCCCAAATTACTTTTGTATCTTTGTTGACATCTGACAAATGCTTGACACTATTCTTCATGTTTTGTGTTAAACAGGCCCTGAAATCATGAGTAAGCTGGCTGGTGAGTCTGAAAGTAACTTGAGGAAAGCTTTTGAAGAAGCTGAAAAAAATTCTCCAGCCATAATCTTCATTGATGAACTTGACGCCATTGCCCCAAAGAGAGAAAAGGTAAGTTTTGGCATAGGTTGTCTTTTATACATGTGTGTAATAAGGGAGGCATTCTGCTAATGTTCAAAATGATGAAGGCTTTTATAGGTATGTCTTGTGTACAGTTTGTATGGTTTTGCTGTTGTTTTCTTTATTTGAGGTAAATAGAACATCATATATCTAGATCTCTTCTAAAGACACCTGTAATTGGGTCCTCATAATGCCAATAAATTGACAAAACAGTACTCACAATGCACATCAAGTCGTCCTTGTCATTGCCCCAATGTCCAAAGTTAAATATTTGGGGGTCCCTAGATTCACCCACCAAAGGAGCAAACCTCAAGGACGTTAGGACCCACTTAGTTACGAACACTGACAAAGAATGGTCATCGATGTTGTATTACAATGCTCACTCAGTATGCTATGGCAAGGTCTGCTACAAGATTATTTGAGTTGTCTCCCTTGATAATTGTTATATTGGCATTGGAAATACCTGTTGTCAACTCAAACTTCAAACACTTCATATCAATCAACAACTTCAACATCGCCATATTACAAAAGGAGATGTGCAGTGCAAAGTTTTTGAATAGGGGATTTTCTGAAAAATATTTCTTTTTCTAATTTTAAACTTAGAAATATGTTAGGAGTCAAAGTTGGGGGGGGGGGGGGGGGGTTTGTGAGCCCTGCTCACTTTTTGTCTTGTATTTGTAATTATTATTCCAGTATTTTGTTCATCTACCAAGCATTGACATGATGTGACAACTTCTGACAATTCAATTCAGACACACGGTGAGGTAGAGAGACGTATTGTGTCCCAGCTGTTGACATTGATGGATGGTCTGAAACAGCGATCTCATGTCATCGTCATGGCAGCAACAAACAGGCCCAACAGCATTGATCCTGCTCTTAGAAGATTTGGTAAGTGGTGCACCTCAACAACAACCATGCAGTGGAAACTGATATTTTACTACTGTTTTATTCTGATATGTTTCATTATTGCTGAAAAATGTGATGTTTGTGTTTTAGGTCGTTTTGATCGTGAAGTTGACATTGGAATCCCAGATGCCACCGGACGTCTTGAGATTTTGAGAATCCACACAAAGAACATGAAGCTTGGAGACGATGTGGATCTTGAACAGGTAAATAACATGAACATATCCTCAGCTGTTCCAGAGTTCTGCTTCAGTAAACAATCAAAATGGGTTTTTTCTCACTCCTCTGCCTTACCTCCTGTTTGATGTTATGTGGTCTTGCTGGCCGAAAGATATAGGACAAGAAACAATTTGTTAAACCATTGAGTGTCTTACTGTTAGATTTGGCTTTGACAAGTGTACAGTTACTATGGTAAGCTTTGTGTTTATTTTGCTTTTATTGTTTCACACTTTGTGTGTGTATATAATTTTTATTAAATCTAAATCACACTTATGTAATATCACAAATTAAGCCATCTCTCTCATGTATTTGATTGATTACTTATGTACAAATTATTACCTAATGTTAAGAGTTTAGTGCTGACATGTCCACTGTATTTATCAGATAGCCCAGGAGACTCACGGCCATGTTGGAGCTGATCTGGCTGCCCTGTGTTCCGAGGCTGCCCTTCAGCAAATCCGAGAGAAGATGGACCTCATTGATCTGGAGGATGAAACAATTGATGCTGAGGTCCTCGATTCCCTTGCAGTCACCATGGAGAACTTCAGGGTATGATGTTGGGATGTCTGTTCTTCAGGTTCATCAGTGAGCCTGAATTCATGTTGGAAAGATCCATGTTTTGGGAAAGGAAAATAAAATGATTTGTTAATTGTCAGTGAAAATACACAGGGACATATGTCCAATAAGTGAATTTAGGAAAATTATGTTCTTGTATTCTATATACATACAGAGAAACTCCATAACAATATTAAGAATACAAGATTATTAGGGCCAGTGGTTTTGTTGGATCAAATCAGACTGCATTTTTAGTGTCCCCATCAGAATCAGGAGATTCAGAAGTTATGTAGTGTGAAGTACATCTTGGTTAAATGTAGACGACCTTTGTGTGGTATTTACATCTACATTACTTTGTTGTTCCAGTGGGCTTTGAGCAAGAGCAACCCAAGTGCCCTCAGAGAGACATCAGTGGAGGTGCCAAACGTCAGTTGGGAAGACATTGGAGGTCTGGAGAGTGTGAAGAGAGAGCTTCAGGAACTTGTACAGGTGGGTAGCCTCTAGGTACAGAGTTGTGTTCCTTAGCTCTCCCAGGACCGAACAACCAGGGTTTGAATCCCAGATTTGTTTCATTTATGATCCTTGCTTTATTTGAACCATATCCATTCCCATGGATTTCGACAAAGTGGTAAACATCGGCAACCTGCGTCACTGAGACCTTTCCTCCCACATTACACTAGCATAGTGTGATATTACTGAAATATTATTTAAAGATGCTGAAAATTGGCCCTGACATTTGCACTAAAGTGTGTTTTCATCCAGTATGGAGAGAATATTCAACTAACAAGACTGGCAGCAAAAATATAAATGTCTTGTGTTTATGACATGTACTCTTGTATTTGCTGTCCCTGAAAATCTCTTTATTTTCTGTATCTGAAAGTACAAGGCATCTTTATTTGACTGATACTTGCAGTACCCTGTTGAGCATCCGGAGAAGTTCCTCAAGTTTGGCATGACCCCGTCCAAGGGTGTTCTGTTCTATGGCCCTCCTGGATGTGGTAAGACACTGTTGGCCAAGGCTATCGCCAATGAATGTCAAGCCAATTTCATCTCCATCAAGGGACCTGAGCTGCTCACTATGTGGTTTGGAGAGTCAGAAGCAAATGTCAGAGACATCTTCGACAAGGTCAGTTTCATATTGCCCTAAAAAAAGCCACATAAGTTTTAAGACTTTATGACTAATCTTTACATGATTGATTCTATTTGTAATAAGAAAACTTCAAAAAATCAATTTTATTATTGATAATTATCAATGTTTACTCTGTGATATGTGTTGATGATTGTGTTGATGATTCCTGTTGTTAAACAACATTCACTGACTCCCTTTTAACATTAAAGTATTCACTCGTAATGATCTACTTGGAGTCACGGTTGGCCGACGAACAAATATCTGTGCATAATTGTGTCCCTCAGGCTTGCTGGAAACTATGGGTTCGAATCTCAAATTCATGCTGATTATGTTTTTAGATTTGTTGGCTGCACCCCATGGCTGTGGGTTTCACAAAGTGGTATACGTTTAATAACTGCATCACTTGGGGCTTTTCTCCGACATCAAGCTGACATGCCGTCATCTGACTGAAATGCCGTTCAAAGTGGCATTGACACCAAACTTACTCAAGGTCTGTTGTATATTGTAGGCAAGATCTGCAGCTCCCTGTGTACTGTTCTTCGATGAGTTGGATTCCATAGCCAAGGCTCGAGGTGGCAATGTTGGTGATGGAGGTAAGTAATATAGCTTCTGACCCATGGGTTGTTTGTCCTGAAGGTACTGAGTGCAAAAATAGTTGTGTATGAGGTTGGATTTACAGTGGCTTTGTAATGAACATTATTGTATGATGGTTAGACTATTTCAGGATCATCTCGTACCCCTGCCCCTTTTGGTCATAATAGTCTTATTTGACAGTCGCTCTAACTCTAACTGTGTGTGTAACCCAGGTGGTGCTGCCGACAGAGTTATCAACCAGCTCCTGACAGAAATGGATGGTATGAGTGCAAAAAAAAATGTCTTCATCATTGGAGCAACAAACAGGTGAGTCATATCTTAAGTCCATTTGTAATTCAATTAACTATTTATCACAATACAAAATATGTCAATATGTAAATACAAATAAATACAATCAATTATTTGTGGTGAATGTTTGCTAATGCCAAAAGACCATCTTCCTCAGGCAAGGGAGTTTACTGACTGTAAAAGTCCAGTTTCCACCCTTGCCAAACTAGGCTGGAATTTCATGGCCCAATCATAATGCAACCAGTGGCAATTACGAGTTATGTCCCTTTTATGTCCCTCCCATTGACCAATCAGAGTCCATCTCTCTTATCACTTGCATTTGCTTGAAACAAAATGATGGTGCCCAGACAAGATGATCTAATAGATACTCAAGATCTTTATTTTAATAAGATGGGACCTACCTCGCGAAGTACATCAAGTCACTTGAGCACTTTGATTGAAAACGTGAAAAGATATGGAAAACATCTGTCGACCACCACTTGACAGTACACATGCTCTGCAAATCCCACAGTCGACAGAAATCTGCATGGCACTCGCCATGTTGTTTATAAACCGAATGTCGATTTTGGTATGAGATTTTTATTGGACTATGCAAAGTCTCATTAGTCAAGCCAAAATATAACTCTACAATTCCAGCCCATTTCAGCAAGGGTGGAAACTGGACTTTTTAGAGTCAGTTAACTCCCTTGCCTCAGGAAGATGAAAGACCACAAGTGTAAGATGTGTGAATCACTGAGTGATAATGAAACGCTTCTGTAAAGTTGACTCAACTTGTGCAGATAAAGTTTGGATATCTCTGAACCTACCCCTCTACCTTACCTCCAGTCAGACAGTTTTGTTGTCTTGCTGGTCATTAAATAGAGGAAAAGAAACAATTTGTTAAACTGTTGAGTTTCTTATTTTTGAGAGATTTGACTTTGACAAGTTGACAGTGATGAAATGTTTCTGTTGATAGATGCATGATTGCTGTTGAAGCATTAAGAAATTCACTCACATGTTTATACTGATAGCATGCATATTTTAACCTTAAAGGGTGAATGTAGTCTTATGCATTAATGATACAAACACAATTACCTCTTTGTTTTATTTTCAAAATGGTCATAACAGATTTGACAAAAGAATAACCATTTACTGTTGCCTACAGACCTGACATCATAGATCCTGCCATTCTTCGACCTGGCCGTCTTGATCAGCTCATCTACATTCCTCTCCCAGACGACAAGTCAAGGATTTCAATCCTCAAGGCAAATCTCAGAAAATCACCAGTGTCAAAGGTTTGTGTTTCCTAGTTTCTATTTTAGTTGTCTGCTGGTATGATTATTTAAGCACTGTACTACTTGTAGTGTCCTTATGACAGTTTGACTCAATCTATCGCCTATCTGAATCCTCTTCATAGTCAAAACGTCCCATTTAATGACATTTTCCAGATTGTTTGCAGCAAATGCAAATAGGAGTAGTTTCCTGGCACTGTGACCTTGTTCTGTAACATAGCAATGTATGACGTCATTAATGGAAGGTCACATTGACAATATATTGTTTGTATGTTGAGTACTGGTGCTGGCTATTGGGGTTATTTTCACTATTGCGTGTGTATTGTAGCCCACACTATTGCATGGTACAAAGGTTTTGATAATTGTAATAAAGTATTGCTGACAATTTCAAAGGCCGACATTTTTCTCCCTGTTGCCACTCAGATCCAGGGAAAGTTAAATTGCAACTATTGAGACTATCGATTGTAATGCATACTATCAACGATACTTTGGTATATTTATATTCCTATCGGTACAGTACTGACGTCTGGCAAACAGTTACAATAGTTTGATATATCGTCTCACCCTATTGAGTACTGAGTATAATCTGTACGAAGCAGTTAAAGCAGAATGTTATAATGTCTTTGATTAAGATGTTGGTGAATAAGCCTAAGCATGTATTATCAGACATTTGTAATCAGTGTATGCAATTATTTGGGTGAGAGTTGTCTCCCTTGTAAACCATCACAATTCAACACATAGGTCGTCCAATGCTGACTGTCATTTGCTTGTCATAATATTAACAGCAAAACATTTCCATTGTTCAGGATGTTGAATTGGATTACCTAGCTAAGGTGACCCATGGCTTCAGTGGTGCTGACTTGACAGAAATCTGCCAGCGAGCGTGTAAGCTGGCCATCCGAGACTCGATCCAGGCTGAGATCAGGATGGAGAGACAGAGGGCAGCAAACCCAGAGGCTGATATGGTAGGTTATGATCACAACGCTGCTGAGAGAACTCTAGTACTCATAGTGAAACAACATTCGGTCATATTGACTGTTACCATTTTAGTATCCATTTTTTTCAAAATCGAGGATGTACCTGTGACTATGCTTTCCAATTATATGTGCCACAGTACTAATGTCACATCAAATCTCTAAATATGTTTATTATGCAGTTTAGTTACACCTGTCACTCCATAAATGATGTACTGCAATTATTTCAATTTAAATATGATGTATGTATCATTTTTGTGTGTCTGTGTTTGTGGTTTGGGTGTTGGTGTTGTGTATGTGTGTGGACATATCCTGTGTGATAATATTTTGTGAGGGTTTTGACAGATTTGAATTTGAATTTCCTGTCGAATCTCATTAATTTGAGCTATTAATGACTTCCTTGTTCCCTACCTATGTTTCTTACTTCTGATTGTGATATGTCCTTGCAGGAGGTTGAGGAGTTTGACCCAGTGCCAGAGATCACAAGAGCTCACTTTGAAGAGTCCATGAAGTTTGCCAGGAGATCAGTCAGTGACAATGACATCAGGAAATATGAAATGTTCGCACAAACATTGCAACAGAGTCGGGGATTTGGAGGTGGTTTCAGGTGAGACAACTTTACATCTTCACATCTTCAGATTTGTTGAAATATTTTGGTGCCCCTTCATAATAATGAATTTGAAGCGCCCTGGGAACAACATTAGACTGACAAGATCCAAACAGGAAGAGATGAGCCTCTTGTATTTCATAACCAATGGCTGCAATTTGTTGTACATGACCCGTTAATCTTTGGTTCGATTCCCACACCAGTTTGTCAGCACTATAAACATGCTTGTGGTAAACCTTGGACCTGTATCACTTCGGGGTGTTCTGCAACATCAACCTGAGTGGTCATAGGGAATGACTTGACCATGAGCTGCATCTTCACTGCATGCACTGTTTCTTGCTCTGTTCACTACTGTTGTTTGGGAGTATAATGTACAAATATGCACACACCCATGAAGTGTGCCATTTCCCTTTTTCGTTGCCATGTTTGCCTTTGAAACAACATCTTAAGTCTTACAGGAAAATGAAAGGTGCCTGATGTTATGAGTGATAGCAAAGGGTTTAAACCTCAATACCACTCACACAACAGCGAGAGAAACTAACCCTTTTTAGCCCACTAGTCCTTATAATGATAACATATAGCAAAACCCTTAAAAAGGACTATAGGACTAGTGCCAATTTCTAATGCTGCACAGTTAAAATGGATTACACAACAATCTAACTGCAGTTAGATATAATATAACAAGTAAGGGCACACTAGCAATACTATCGGCAAAGCATTATGGTAGTATTAATATGCAAAGTCATAATCATCGGACATTGTTATTTCACAGTGGTACATTGTTAACCGAGCATCAACATGATCTCTGTTCTCTCAGCCCCGACATGGGTGCAAATTCACAAACAGGTAATGGGGTCCTCATTTTAGATAAAACAGGAAGAGGCAACAATCCAGGCTGTGTCACTTCAAGTTACAAACGCCACTGCCCTTCTACAATAATCACAAGTGTTTTGAAATGTTTTGCCGACAAGCTACCTACTTTCACTGAAACACAAAAGCTACTCACTTGAATCAATCAGATCACAAACTGGACATTCAATTACATAACAAGCATTTCACTCAAATGAAAGCCCCTTACCTCAAGTCAAGTACCTAGTATACTGATCAACAGATGAAAGTATACTGATCAACAGATAAAAGTATACATCCCATATTTAAACATACATCATAAAGTATCGTATAACAATAAAGTATTGTGATGTGTGTTAACATTCCAGATTGGATACACACTTTATCACAGTCAGGAGCAGATATTAATCCTGTGAGAGCACAGATGTCCCAGTCTTCTTATGCACTGCATTTCACTGTACAAAACTGCATCTCTTTGGCATGCCAGAAATCAATGGCAGGGTTAGAAGCTAACAGTTTTCATCCACTTGTCCTTATGATGATAAGCAAAACCCTTAAAAAGGGCAAATTTCTACTAGTCCTTATGATACCTTTACCATTGGGCAGTTTGGCAAGGACTATAGGACTAGTGCCAATTTCTAACACTGAATGGTCATGGGTTTGAATCCTGGTTCAACCTAGTTTATGTTTCTAGGTTTGTCAACACTATGCGCTCGTCAGTTTCACCAAAGTTGAAAACTTCTGAGACCTGCAACACTTTGGGCTTTCCTCCCACATTAAGCTGACACACCTTGTATAACTGGAATACTGTTAGAGGTGGCATTAAACCAAACTCACCCACCAAACTTTTGTCAATAATTTAAGGTTTCTAACCCACTTTCCATGAACCTTAGGAAAAGGACGTAATATATATCTTGCTGGCAAAAAGAGCTATATTACCAGAATACCACGATATGAAATAATAATGAATACATATCACAATACTTTTGGAAAATACCGATATGTTTCGTTTTTCAAAATCATGCATATTTTCAATAATATGCAGGAAAAGGGTTTTTTAATTCAGGTTCATAATGAATTATGGATGAAAGAATGCATGCAATATTTTGTGGTGCTTATCGCAATAAATTTCAATTTGAAAGTCAGTGATAGCTACTTAGTATTCCCTGTATTGTAGCCCATTTCTGGTGTCCCCCACCGTGATATTGCTGTAATGTTGCTAAAGGCGGCGTTAAACCATTCTCACTCACTCACTCACTCCCTGTATTGCAGCAACGTCTTGTCAGGAGTACATTGGTCATGCAGGCATGTCACTTACAGAGTTGTCTCCCTTTGACCAGGTTCCATAAAGTAATTTGTGTTGCAGAAATGTTAGAAGATAATTTTTTGAAAATAAACTTCCATTAATACAAGATAAGATTAAGATTATTTACATACACTACAGATGACTACAGATAACTGGTTTTGGAAGGGTGATTGAATTAATTTAGCCCCAGAGCTCAGAGTTGTTGTTTGGACATGAGTTGTTGTTTGGACATGTGTGGTATGGAATGATGATGCATTCAAATATACTGTACCTTTTTGAGTTGTTTGATTTTCTACTTGAAAAGAAAGAGGAATGGAATTTGTTTATTAGTGTAAATGTAGAGAATGGGAGTCTGTGCTGCAACTGGATTGGTTGATAAATGTTATATGCGATTGGATTCAGTCTTTCATGCCTTTGTGTTCGTGAAATGGATACCACTTTTATTAAATATTGAGTTTCATAAATATTTATCAGAATGACTTTATTCTACCAATCAGGCGAGTTCAGTTAGCATGTGATGTCATCCATTGTGTCATGACACCTTAACATTCAAGGGTGATGTCATCATGGTCATAGCATTCCAGAGTGACATCATCCCTCACAGCTGGGAGAGTTTGGTAGAGAGAGAGAGTACTTCAGAAAATGACACACAATGTTTATCTCCTTAATACAAATATCAAAGTTAATTATATGAATCTATAAATGTGACAAGTCGTTGACATTCAAATTGAGATGTTAGCCATTGAATGGTTATAGCTTTATGGTTTGTGTCTAACAGAATGTATCTTATTTAGTCAAGACATTTTCATGGCTTGAGGGATTTGAATTGCTTCAAAAAATGCACCTATATACCTTATTAAAATCAAATTTGTGTATAAGGTATATCATAACTGATATTTGATTAAATGTAACACCTCAAGATCTTTCCTGAACTCCTATAAAAAGGCAACAGGTTCCATTTCCCACAATCCATAGACACTTAGGGAGAAAATAAAAAGGGACTCTTTTGTGATAGTTTTAGCAACATAAGTCATATCTCTTTGACTATTAACTTCTTTATATTTTTAGTCTCCTTTCAGTAATATGTCTCACCATTGTAACAGATTTATGTTCAAATGAAAACAACATATGTGGTATTGACTATAGTAAGGGAAAGACATTATATTTCTAGGTCTTTGTTAATTCAAGACAGTATGCTACAATGTGAACAAAATGGTCAGTGTTATCTTGTGTATGTTGAGGACAGCTTAATTTTGTTCTTATTATTTTAATTAATGATAGAATAATTTTTATATTTTGTTTTAACCTACCTGTTGACATAGCTAAAAACAAGTAAGGATCTGTATGCCATATGATTATGAGAGTGGTTGGATGCTGAATAATCTGGACAAGGATATGATAAATACTACTTCTGTGTATTGGGAGGTCACAGTAAATCAGTTAGATTTTCATGCAAATGTTTCTAGGTCTTTGTTAATTCAAGACAGTATGCTACAATGTGAACAAAATGGTCAGTGTTATCTTGTGTATGTTGAGGACAGCTTAATTTTGTTCTTATTATTTTAATTAATGATAGAATAATTTTTATATTTTGTTTTAACCTACCTGTTGACATAGCTACAAACAAGTAAGGATCTGTATGCCATATGATTATGAGAGTGGTTGGATGCTTAATAATCTGGACAAGGATGTGATAAATACTACTAATGTGTATTGGGAGGTCACAGTAAATCAGTTAGATTTTCATGCAAATGTTTCAAAAATGTGATGCTAAAGACATTTTGATTCTACATTATTATTACTTTAAGCAAACTGTTCAAGACATCTGTGAACATTAATTGTCAACAGCTGAATCACATGAAGCATGAATGTTTGGTAGGACTGTGTGTGGTGTATTTCATCAAGTAAAGAAACAAGGGAACACATGAAGTGATTATCTCCTATGTAGGTACTTGGGGACAATCAAATGGTGGTGTTCTGTAAATGATAAAGTCTAATTATGTATTATCAAGGTTCATACAGTCTTTGAAAGACCTTGAATTCTAAACATCCCTCTTGAAATACCTTGATTGTTAAGTGTCTACCTTCATAAGCCTTTAAAATCTCCAAAATAGCTTGATAAGCCTTCAATTTTTACTAATTGACATGACCTTGTCAATAAAAGTATTAAAATTCATGACAGCCAATTAATTTTATTTGTTAGTTGTGAAAATAAATCTGGTTGGAAAATTTGTGATGTTCATTAGGTCCTTTAGTACTACTAACATATTCTATACTGGATTTTAAGAAAAAATATTAACAAACGAGGGCTAAAAAAGCCTTGCAAATAACAATTGACAGCCTTGAAAAGGTCTCAAATTTTAGGTGTTTCATATCTGTAGAAACCTTGATTTGCCTAATCAGTAATACCTAGCACTAATTATCTGTTTCTTTATTGTATTGTATAAGTTATCTTAGGTAAACAGGTTCAGTGTCGGCTGCATTTAATAGGCCCTTGTGCATTGACAGTTGTTTCTAAGTCTTTGTCAGTTAAAACACTTGATAAAACAGTAAATTTATGGTGCTACTTCTACATGTAAATCTTGTGCTGACTGTGTTAGGCCTGGAGTGTGATCAGTGTTACTGGCACCCTCCAGCCAGGTCCCAGGTTAGTTTGGCTGCTTTACATAGGCTAGCTTTTCATCAGTAATTGGAAATATACACCTTGCCAGAAAATAGCTTGACAGGAATAGGCTCCACCTGCTGGTCTGTCTCGACTAATCTACACATGGAGTTTACATTGGAGTTCTCAATGGAAGCATGCACTCGTCCACTGATTGCATGTTTGACACCTTTAGACAAAGATGCAATTGTGTTTTTTGAAGTCTCTGTATTCATTTCTAGGGCTCTGTTGGCACTGCTGCCTCAGGCTCCATGGCTCTCTGTTTAAACTAGCGTCCTTGGTGATGATTTTTGGCTTGTCAGTTCCATACCGATGCTCTAGGATTTCACCAGAGTGATAAACATCTAAGACTTGCCTCCCTTTGGACCTAGGTAGCCTACCACATTAACTTCACACACCTTGATATAACAGAAATGTGTTGAACACAACTCGTTCGGGCTCACTGTTTACGCAGTAGGAGCAGTGCGTTAAGGTGTTGCTTGGTGGTTAAAGTGGCCTTCTCGCCAAAGACCTGAGTTTGATTCCTCATATGGTTGCAATGTGTGAAGATAATTCTAGGTGTCCTGTAATGATTTCGCTTTCAAGGAAAAATAAAATTGTGGTGTCTCGGGTACCTGTTTGGGGGTGAAGTATTTTGTTTTTGTCATGGTTTAACATTAGGACTGTTTCATAATTTTCCGCCCTCAGTTTATTTGATTCTTTGGTTAAATTCAGGATTAACTTTCAGTCTTCCTCTACAGTTTCCAAGGTTTAGTATAACACTCAAGACCAACTCTTTAGGGGTCTCCAGATTTGAAATACTCTAGCAGTTATTTTCAAACACTGCTCTAAACATAACCAACTAATGGCCTCAATAAACAAGTTCAATAATGAATGCCAAGTGTTTATGCTACAAATGATGGATGGATGGTTATATGTTGTAAATTATGATATTTTTAGTCTTCATAATCAGATTGGTTTGTCGCTACCTTTGAATCTGTAATTGGAGAAGCGATACTTGACTTCAGTTTATGTAATTGAAATACAGCCTAGTAAATAGAAGTGATACCATTCATAAACAGCAACCAAAAACGGACTCATTAAAAGGAAAATATTTTTTCATCATTGTCAAATCAGTTACATCTGTAAGTAGCTTCGAAAACCTTTGAGTTCTGTTTAAGCCCAGACTTGAGAACATCTCGCAGATATCAGGAGAGATGTAGACCATTTGTAGAGGGAACAGGTGAATGTCATCTTGTAAACAGATGTCCATCACCACCCCACCTATCAAGATGCATTGTATCAACATCAAAGAGAGCCTGGGAGCATGTACATAGCTGTGACTATGTGCCTTGTACATTTCATACAAACACACGCCACCTTCTTTCTCTCCCCAGGTGTCAAGTTACACTCTTGTCGCCACCATCACAGAGCGTACATATTTCCGTTTTTCTTCTGCTCTGTGTAAATCTTGGTGAGCAGCACTATGAATGTGGAAGAAGTGTTTCACAGAGTGCAAGTGATTGCCTCTGTCTGTGATGTGGACATGTCCCGGAGTAGATTGATGCTTGTTATGAGGGGAGTTGAACTTGTCATTTTCATACATCACTTGTTTATTTCACTCGGCTTTGAAGTCCTTCATAACACAAATATTAGGCAAGTGAAACACGACTGAATTTTGGTATGTGGTCCTGATCCGGACATAAACTGCAGTGCCATGATTGTCTTCAGACTTTTTGTCTCAAAGTCTTATCTCTGCCCGGCAGATAAATTATTACAAGTAGAAAAGATGCTACGTAAATATGAAATAGTTGCTGTACAGACTGATCTCTTGTTCAGATAGCTTTCTATCTGGGGGTTACAGTATTTTGAAGATGTGTGTTGGGTATTGTTAATGAATTAAAGATACTGCAATAACAAGTGCAGAATGTGTCTGTGTTTATGGAATGCACTGAAGGGCTGGGTCAATTGGCTGACTTCACATGGTGTGTGTGGTAGGTATGCGGCTCCTTGCCTACCACAGACTGTATATTGCTGTAGTCTACGTTTGGAGAAGGGAATGACTGGGTGCCACTCTACACCTGGCCATGTTTATTGTCGACCAGTCCTTTTGTTTTGATCCACAGGAGAACATGAGCTTTGATAGCCAGCATTTTCTCCAACCATATGCCCAAAACCAAACGTTTGAGAGGTACATGATTGTGGGTTGTAAACAGTTTGACTGCGAAGGATACACTTGTTGTTACCGGCCACCCGATTCCCTGCCACATCCCGCCCCGACTGCTTCCCTCCTTCCTTTGTCTGTAGAGATAAACTTCCGCCAGATTTCTCGAAAAGGAGCAAATAAATACAATGAAGATGCCAGGAAGCTGCTGAAACCAACATGTGGGACCCAATCTAGCTACGCCATACATCTCAATCATTCAATACAAGAGTTTGTGATCTTAAAAAACAATTTTTTTTCTATTAGTTTTTGTCGTTTGGGATGCATATTTTCCTCTAACCATCAAAGTAAGCTGTTCTGTCCCTCCTTTTCATGTAGAATCGGGAAAACACAACGACATTTAATACCCAGAAACAATGCAGTGTTGTTTCCTTGTGGTGAACTAGTTGAGATGGGGGGCATCTGCCTGCTATTCTCTTGCTTGTGTCAAAAAGCTGAAAGGCAGAGTTTGTTTGTAATGCAGCAGTGTTTAACTGTGGGGTAACCTCCAGCAAGCAAGCGGCTCACCACCCACAGACTTGTGATTTGTGCCAGCATTTCAGTGGAGAGGCATCTTATTGCGGTCTGACATTATTATGTCATTCCTGCTGCACATTTCAATTTTCACACTGGTGATAGCTGACAGATGGGAGACCATCACTGTGGCAGTCTCTCTGTCACTTTTATACCTCTCCCTACTACTAGACATTGTTCACATAGCAAAGCTCATTGATAAAGCAATGACAACAGGCAGGGAAGCTTACCGACATAGATAGGTGGCTTTCATGGAGATGAGAGAGTCTGAAAAAAGTTGTATTGAGAATGCTTTTGTTTTGGCTCATGTAGTCTTTGGTATTGAAATTATCCGTACATGGTGCAACGACTGGGCGACTTTTCTCTAATGAGGATGAGACATGCCAAGAATAATATGAGAATTATCTGTAATTAACAAGCTCTGGTCTTGCTCATAAATACTGACACGTTCTAACAAAGTTGCTTCAGCTGCGCTCCTGAAAGTTTTTCCTGCTACAAAATGCATGTTTGTAATGGAGTTGAAATGTGGAAGTGTATTACCAATTACATCATCAGTTGTATGGAGATGTCCTATTGTCTGTTGTGTTCCATGTCAGATGTGTGTGGTCAAACAGTTGGAAAGTAGTTTTAATTGTTTTAAAACATGTACGTGTCGGGTGTGGTAAAGTGATTTGTTGATTTTTATAAATCCAAAGTCTTGAGTGAAGGTAGAGCAATTCATGAATTTTTTTAATGTTTTAACATTTATTCATAGCAGTATCTTTCTATAATTTATCCAACACAAGACAAAATGCTTGATTCTTTGGAGTAAATAAACCATGTGTTAACTTTGTGATAACCTTGATACTGATATGCATGAACATTTGAGTTAGGGTCATATACTTCAATGGATTGAAATCTAGTGTCATCTTTAGGTCATGTTATTTTAAAACAACACTAAAAGTTCTTGTGTTCGGAGCAGTTGAGGCAGCCGTTGCATGAAGCTAGTTCAAATGTGGTGCCACGCTACTGATAACATGTGAATGTTAGCGATAGCAGTTCTTGTAACCTGCTGCCCTAGGTTTGATTTAGCATGACAAAAATGTGGATCGTTTAAGAATTATTAATGTTTCGATGGATGGGATGGAATGCGTGTCATTGACTCATTGTCCTGTGTGGGTTATTACGCTATTGACCAATGGTCAGGGAAAGAAACCATGAGTTCTGTTGAATTCTTTATTCAGTAAACCCAACCATAAGACATTTCAGCCAATGTGAGAGACAAGTGCTAATCCTTCCAGATCAGTACTCCGACTAAGCAGTGTAAGGGATCAATGACTGTGTCTCGCCCTGCTAGTCTGAAAAAGGCTTTTTTTTTTTAACATTTACGATAGAAAATCACATTCACTCACCAGTGTTCAGTATTGAATCCTGGAAGTTTGAATCTAAAGACCTTCTTAGGGACACAATAAACTAATGATCTAAATGTTTCAAAATGCTGGGAAGCAGTTGATTTTTTTATTTATTATTTTTAAAAAAAATGTTCAGGGTGTCTCTTGATGTATTGATTATCAGCTGATGTGATTCACATGAAACATGAATTCAGTGTGACTATTTATGTGGTGTATATCATCATGTAGCAATATTTGTCATCCGTAGGTACTAGAACAATATGATGTGTAGCAGACTGGGAGGAAAATCATATCATTAATTTGTTATGGCCTCATCTTTAGTTTTAAACATTACTTCCATTCTTGGTCTTTGATTGATGACATTTGTCATGTGTACTGAATCTTACCAGTGAGATATTTGTTATTTCAGATTCCCAGGTCAGACAGGCCCCAGTCAAGGCCCGAGTCAAGGTGGTCAGGATGGGGGCAACTTTCAGCAGGAGGATGACGATGACTTGTACAGCTAAACTTGACAGACATACCCACGGACTAACTGACTAACTGTTCTGCTGGTCATTGAGGCGGTGGCAGTGGCATTGTACAGTTTGTCTAGTTAACACTAAACTTGTTAGGATGTATCATACACAGTTTGATTTCTCTCAGCAATTTATTTGTGTACAACAAAATTCATTTCATTGTCAGTGTATGTCCTCAAAGCTTTTCATCCCATCCCTCTGTAGTCAATTCACAAAATAACTTCAACCTCTTATTTCATTGTTTTCGACAGAAGAATTTCATATTCTTGTGTCCTAAATGTTGAATGATGTAAAATAATATTTTGCATTCATGTAGTCAATCACTAAATGTTAAGGAACATATTTGTCGTGTTTGCAAGCTTAAAAACTGTGGAATAGATTTTACTATACAGACATCAAGCTTGAAATTTGGCAGTGGAAGAACTAAATTCACATAGACTTGTTAGTATTTATGTCTTGAACATTGCTTTGTAAGTGCTGTTTTTATAATATGTTTTGTTTATTTATGCATATTTTAAAATAGTGAAGACATATTTAATGGAAGCAAAAACAACACAATGTGGGATAGTTCTTGTTTTACTGAAGCTGATTCTTTAAGATTCGGCATCAAGATCACGTTTCTCTCCAATGCTGTGTCAACACATACACTCATGATGATTTATCAAAATGTTGTTTCCCCGGATATGTGTGAACAGTGACCAGGAAGTTAACTGTTTTGTCTGGCAATTGAAGGTGTCAAGGATGCCATCGGAACTGAAAGCAAAGGCTCTGGTTGTTGATCAAAGGAAAATCTCTGTAACATAAATGAAGCAACTTCTTGTCAATAAAGAACAATCATCAAAAATGCTGCATTGTTATATTTCTTGGAGACATTCACCGACTGAGATGATGTTTGTAATGATGTTTATTGGTCTCAGAGTGTAGTTAGTGTTCAGCCGCTTGAGAGATTCTAGGGCTTTGGTCCTGCCCCAAACTGAAGCACATAGGGTGTCTTCTTTGGCAAGTAACTTTCTTCTTCTTCTTCTTCTTCTTCTTCTTCTATAGTTCCCTAAATTATTTAGACTCACTCAAAGTGAAATGTAAGGTAATGTACTGAGAACTGACCATATTCTTGTTCCTGTAAAATATATCAGCATGTGTGCTGTGATCTGGTATTGGCTTAAAAATCTTTTGATTTCAGAATTGTTCTTTTCAGTCATATGTATACTTTTCTGAAGTGTTTTTTTAACAGTCCTAAATTTTAGGAAACATGACAGTTGGCTTTCAAAATAGATATTTGAATTATGTATAAAATTTGGTCAATACTTATCAGAACAACTTTGATATACTAGTTGATGTTTTTCTCCACATTCTGAAAATTATACGAGTTCAGTTGTCAAGAACCATATGACATCTTCCACTGCATCATGACAGCATTGTATTCCAGTGTGACATGGATGTCTCATCACTTTAACATTTCATGTAGAAAGTGGATGACCAAACATTTCGGATAACTTGGATGTGTTTAAATGTTGAAAAACATGATTTCAGCTTTTTGATTATTGAATACAGGGAATTTGAAGTTTGGAATCTTCTTCTTATGTTGGGTGTTCTAAATGAAATTTCAAGGTGATGATACTCTTGTAAATAGCACTTGTAAATCTAAGAACATGTTTATCTACTTATTATCCCCCGCCCATCAAAGTTGGAGGGGGATATAGAAACTAGCTCCGTCCATCACATTTCGTTTCCGGAGCATAACCCAGAAACTGTTCAATATTTTTCCATGAAACTTTGCAGGTCTGTAAGTACATGCTGAACTGGTGCCTTTTGCTATTTAGAAATTTCTATTTTTTACGTTTCCATGGCAACAAGATGGACTTAGGTTCTGTGAGGGTAGGGTTCGTTTCTGGAGCATAACTCATAAACCATTTAATATTTTTTCATCAAACTTTGCAGGTTTGTCAGGTACATGCTGAACTGGTGCCTTTTGCTATTAAGAAATTTTAGAAATTTTTATTTTTTACGTTTCCATGGCAACAAGATGGACTTAGGTTCTGTGAGGGTAGGGTTCGTTTCCGCAGCATAACTCATAAACCGTTCAATATTTTTTCATCAAACTTTGCAGGTCTGTCAGGTACATGCTGAACTGGTGCCTTTTGCTATTAAGAAGTTTCAGAAATTTCTATTTTTTACGTTTCCATGGCAACAAGATGGACTTAGGTTCCAAACTCTTCTTTTTTTTTACAATTTCCATGACAAGTTCCACCTCGGTTTAAAAAGGTCAGGGTTTGTTTAGATTTAATTATGTCATAAATTCTGCAACAGGGGCGGGGGATATAGCCACTCACATTAGTGGCAAACTCTTGTTAGAAATTCCTATGACAATGATTTTGGAGACATTTTTACTTATATACTTGCAGGGCACAGCGCTATAAAATGTTATCTTAAAGTAAATGGCATATATCTCATATATTTGTTTTCTTGTCTTGGTGACTTACTACTTTGGTGGATGTAGAATGTTAGTTTTGGAAATCCAACATAGAAGATCCTTATTAGAGTGAATTTGGGGCTCAGACAAGCAGGTCCTGGCAGCTAAGGGACACAACTCAGTACAGTATGTTGCAGGGCGAAAGACAAGTGGGGTCACTTCTCCAGTTCACCAGAATGTGAGAAGCACATTAACAGTGGCCTCCCGCCATGTTGGTTAGATGGAAAGCTGTACTAAGGAAAAGGTATTTTTTTACCAACAGGGTCTGCATAACAAAACTTTCAAAAGTCATTATGAAATTTGTCAAATTATGAGTTATATGTGTCACAGTATTTTAAGTTGAATCGGCGTGTACAGAACAAAGATTGAGGGGTGTACACATGTAATGAATGTATCATTACTGGTTCAGAAGGACAGAGTTATTTTCTGTGAAATACTCTGATCTGTCTTATTACCACCAGATGTTGTGGCATGGTAACTCAAAATATGAATGGGTCAGTTATGAGGTGACAAGCAGATGTCATGTCCATACAGGCTGGCCATCCCACTTGGACGCGTTTGTACAAGATGGCGACAAGCCAATCAGCATTCAAATAGACTGAAGTTGAACACATTCATATTTTAAATTAACAACCAATAACGTCCTTTTTGAGGTTGTCATGAGGCACTGTTCACAGTTAACCACCACTGTGACCACCCGATCACCCAAGGAGGCACTGTTAACAGTTAACCACCATTCTGACCACCTGATCACCCATCCAGGCACTGTTCACAGTTAACCACCATTCTGATCAACCATCCAGGCACTGTTCACAGTTAACCACCATTCTGATCACCCATCCAGGCACTGTTAACAGTTAACCACCATTCTGACCACCTGATCACCCATCCAGGCACTGTTCACAGTTAACCACCATTCTGATCATCCATCCAGGCACTGTTAACAGTTTACCACCATTCTGATCACCTGATCACCCACCCAGGCACTGTTCACAGTTAACCACCATTCTGATCACCCATCCAGGCACTGTTAACAGTTAACCACCATTCTGATCACCCATCCAGGCACTGTTAACAGTTAACCACCATTCTGATCACCCATCCAGGAACTGTTAACAGTTAACCACCATTCTGATCACCTGATCACCCATCCAGGCACTGTTAACAGTTACCTACCATTGTGACCACCTGGTGCCTATTACATCCAGCACTAAGTCTTGTTAAAACCCCGGCATACCTACAGTACATGACTTCATTCACGATGCAGATATAACAAGATAACCATGTTTGGAATATGAATCATTGCATGAATCACATTAATATTATGCCATGCTTGCCGTAAAAGGTGACTATGCTTGTCGTAAAAGGCAAATACGGGATCGTGTGGTCAGGCTCGCTGACTTGGTTGATGCATGTCATCGATCCCAAATGCGTGGATTGATGCTCATGATATCAATCACTGGATTGTCTGGTCCAGACTCGATTATTTACAGACCGCTGTCATATTGCTGGAATATTGCTGAGTGCGGCGTTAAACAACAAACCAACCAACCAACATTAATATTATGTCCAATATTATGTCAGTTATGACGGTAAGAAAATCTGGAATGTCATAAAAAGAGTATCAGTTTATTGCAATGTTTGCACTAGGAAAACTTATATTGATAGTAAAGTACATTTTTATACACACTACAAACTACACGTGACCATTGTTGCTGAAAATGACTGCCGATCTGATACATATGCCATTCTTTCTGAAATAATCTAACCAATGTATTTCTTAATTCTATGGAAACTTTTGCTTCTGAGCAAAAATCCCATTTTTTGGTAAATAATAACCTACGTGCCATGCAGTGCTTGTGAAGTTCTTGTTCATGTCGCAGTTCCATCTCACGAATGTAGGTGATTCTCTTCTAGTCATATTGGTCTTAAAGTTTCATAGAGATGGTCAGGAAGATGTTATTATCCTCCGCCCCAACGAAGTTGGCGGGGGATATAGAAATGGGTTCCGTCCGTGTGTGCGTGCGTGTATGCGTCCCGAAATCGTTTCCGGAGCATAACTCAGAAACCGTTGAATAATTTCTTACAAAACTTTGCATGTTTACCAGACACATACTGAACTTGTGCCTTTTGCTATTTAGGAGTTTTATAAATTTTTATTTTAAACGTTTCCATGGCAACAAGTTGGACTAAGGTTCTATAAGGGTGCTGTTCGTTTCCGGAGCGTAACTCAAAAACCATTAAATACTTTCTTACAAAACTTTGCATGTTTACCAGACACATACTGAACTTGTGCCTTTTGCTATTTAGGAGTTTTATAAATTTTTATTTTAAACGTTTCCATGGCAACAAGTTGGACTAAGGTTCTATAAGGGTGCTGTTCGTTTCCGGAGCGTAACTCAAAAACCATTAAATACTTTCTTACAAAACTTTTCATGTCTACTAGGCACATACTGAACTGGTGCCTTTTGCTATTTAGGAATTATAGAAATTTTTATTTTTTACATTTCCATGGCAACAAGATGGACTTAGGTTCTGTGAGAGTAGGGTTCGTTTCCGGAGCATAACTCATAAACTGTTCAATATTTTTTCATCAAACTTTGCAGGTTTGTCAGGTACATGCTGAACTGGTGCCTTTTGCTATTTAGAAATTTTAGAAATTTTTATTTTTTTTACGTTTCCATGGCAGCAAGATGGACTTAAGTTCCAAACTCTTCTTTTTTTTACAATTTCCATGACAAGTTCCACCTCGGTTAAAAAAGGTTAGGGTTTGTTTAGATTTAATTATGTCATAAATTCTGCAACAGGGGCGGGGGATATAGCCACGTTAGTGGCAAACTCTTGTTATTCTTGTAGTAATGTTTGTCAGGCATAACCACATCAGTTGGGCGATATGGCTTTATTATTAGCCAATCACTGTGAAGCAAATGGGAGATTTTGGAGAACAAAGTCCTTCGCCGTTGTGCATCAAGTTCTCACTTGAATGAAGCAAGAATTCCCTTTTCTTTCAAATCTTGATATACATCCATATGAAAAATGAGGTAAAATGATGAGCACAATTGGACCGTGGCATGCATACATGAGACGACAACGTAACTGAGTGTGCAAGATATATTGGTTTACTCAATAGATCTAAAAGACATACGAATAATTACGGTTTGTAAATGCATGTTTAACAGCAGATTTCATTGACATTAAATTATGTAGAAAAACGAATAGCACATGCCACAAACTCCATGAAAAAAAACGACAAAAAGTTCCCGCGAGGCGGATTTGAACCACCGACCTAAGGATAACAGCTTCTTGCCTCTACAGTCCTCCGCTCTACCAACTGAGCTATCACGGGTTAGAAGCATAGGGGAAATTTTACTGTATGTTTCACACACTTCGAAGAGCGGTCTCCACAAAGTGTTTGACTGTTAGTTTCATATCTGTACCAACGTGAACAAAATTCACAGAACATCAGATTCTTTTTCTTGAGCTTTCATTGTCGCTTCCAAATCATGAACTGAAAATCTGTATCAAACAAACTTGTCACCGACCCAATGGCATATTCAAAGGATCTGTTTACCTTATTTAGCATTTGGAAATATAACGATTTTCAATTTATATGAACAAAGATATTTGAAATGGTATGAATACATGTTGTTGTGACACATAATCGTATACACAACTACCGAAGGTATACGCGAAGCCGGTCTGTCAGTGTCAGTTTGTGTCGATGTTAGTGCTGAAGGCGTTTGCGCAATGTAATAGTTAAACTGGTTAACACACTCCGCCTAAACATTTACCACACCAGTTAACTCCCTTGCAAAAAGTGAGTGACAAGAAAAACATACAGGAATTATGACGAATCCATATATTGTCTGGATGTGATTATAGTTCATGGTCTTAAAAAGGCGATTTATTTACGTTTTTATCAAGAAACAAATATATGTCATTCATATATACCTCTGATCACTTGGTTGTTATAGCCACTCCAGCTTGACAGCGGTGTAAGTATCTACATGGAAACGTCGCTATAGATGTATATGCAATAAACTAGAAGTTATTCATCCATAGTTGTACGTTCACTTATGAAATGTCACAGGCTGTGAGAGCCTTCCATACTTATTTAGAACATTGCTCTCCTCAATATTATTTCATGATGCTTTGGTGTTTAAGTTGTTTATATTTGTACTTTTGTATTTGAAAACAGTTGACTCACTGAAATACAAATAACATGGAGTCTTTGGGTATGTTTGACACTTTTCGTATTTAAGCCAAGGGCTTAATTTTGGATGAAATATTCGGTCCTAAAAGGTGAAAAAAACTGTTATCAGTCCATGGGCTTACATACGCGCATTCCCCGGAACAATGACAGTGGCTTGTATATTTGTGCGTATATCCCCCGCCTGTCACATTTCGAACATGCTTTGAGATGTGAATCATACTGACCCGAGCCTCCGAGTCAGGAATACAGTTACATCAAGTAACGTGTAACCGCACACTTTTACATCGAAATGCCCGTCCAGGAATTTCTCAGGCGTATTCGTTGTCATATTTCCGATACAAATGAATTTTGGGACTATGATTGTATTCTTGTCCCTTAGTAAGTATCGGACCGCCTCCGTGGTCTAGTGGTAGAGCGTCCGCCCGGAGAGAGGAAGGTCCGGGGTTCGATCCCCGGCCGCGTCATACCAAAAGACGTTTAAAGATGGTACTTGTTGTTACCCTGTCTGGCGCTCGGCATTAAGGGGCTAAAACAAGGACTGGTCGGCTCGCAGTCAGTATACTGTGTCTGAGTGGGGTATTCATGTTAAACTGCGGCATGGTATCTCAGTGGGCTAGCACTATAAATCGGCATCAATCCGGACTAGTACAAGCAGCCACACACACACACACGTGCATGCACGTCCCTATAAAATTGCAATAATCATGGACGCGACGTTAAACATATGTTCACCTCACCTCACCTAGTAAGTAGCGACTTTTGTATTTCTAATAGAAGAAATTGGGCGAATGCATGAAACCATGAACCCAAATAGTGGTAGAAGGTACCGTTAAACCTGTGCATATAGGTATTGATGTATCTTCTAGACCAGCCAAGGGGACGCTGTCAGTATAGCTCATATACGTGGGGAGTTATGAACACGGCATATCTGATGGTTGGATATTTCAGGGAATTGACATGTGATGGATGTTTCAGGGAATTGACATGTGATGGATATTTCAGGGAATTCACATGTGATGGATATTTCAGGTAATAGACATCTGATGGATATTTGAGGGGATGGACGTCTGGTGGCTATTTCAGGGGATGGACGTCTGATGGATATTTCAGGGGATAGACATCTGATGGATATTTCTGGGGATGGGCATGTGATTGATATTTCAGGGGATAGACGTCTGGTGGATATTTCAGGGGATGGACGTCTGATGGATATTTCAGGGGATGGACGTCTGATGGACATTTCAGGGGCTGGACGTCTGATGGATATTTCAGGGGCTGGACGTCTGATGTATATTTCAGGGGATGGACGTCTGGTGGATATTTCAGGGGATAGACATCTGATGGACATTTCAGGGGCTGGACGTCTGATGGATATTTCAGGGGATGGACGACTGATGGATATTTCAGGGGATGGGCATCTGATGGATATTTCAGGGGATAGACATCTGATGGATATTTCAGGGGATAGACATCTGATGGATATTTCAGGGGATAGACATCTGATGGATATTTCAGGGGATAGACATCTGATGGACATTTCAGGGGATGGACGTCTGATGGATATCTCAGGGGATGGACGTCTGGTGGATATTTCAGGGGATGGACGTCTGATGGATATTTCAGGGGATAGACATCTGGTGGACATTTCAGGGGATGGACGTCTGATGGATATTTCAGGGGATGGACGTCTGATGGATATTTCAGGGGATGGACAACTGATGGATATTTCAGGGGATGGGCATCTGATTGATATTTCAGGGGATGGACGTCTGATGGATATTTCAGGGGATGGACGTCTCGTGGATATTTCAGGGGCTGGACGTCTGACGGATATTTCAGGGGATGGGCATCTGACGGATATTTCAGGGGCTGGACGTCTGATGGATATTTCAGGGGATGGACTTCTGATGGATATTTCAGGGGCTGGGCGTCTGACGGATATTTCAGGGGATGGGCATCTGACGGATATTTCAGGGGCTGGACGTCTGATGGATATTTCAGGGGATGGACGTTTGATGGATATTTCTGGGGATGGGCATCTGGTGGATATTTCAGGGGAAGGACATCTGATGAATATTTCAGGGGATGGGTATCTGATGGGTATTTCAGGGGCTGGACGACTGATGGATATTTCAGGGGATGGACGTCTGATGGATATTTCAGGGGAAGGACGTTTGATGTATATTTCTGGCGATGGACGTCTGATGGATATTTCAGGGGCTGGACGTCTCGTGGATATTTAAGGGGCTGGGCATCTGATGGATATTTCAGGGGATGGACGTCTGATGGATATTTCAGGGGATGGACGTCTGATGGATTTTTCAGGGGATGGACGTTTGATGTATATTTCTGGGGATGGACGTCTGATGGATATTTCAGGGGCTGGACGTCTGGTGGATATTTCAGGGGATGGGCATCTGATGGATATATCAGGGGCTGGACGACTGATGGATATTTCAGGGGATGGACGTCTGATGGATATTTCAGGGGATGGACGTTTGATGTATATTTCTGGGGATGGACGTCTGATGGATATTTCAGGGGCTGGACGTCTGGTGGATATTTCAGGGGCTGGACGACTGATGGATATTTCAGGGGATGGACGTCTGATGGATATTTTAGGGGCTGGACGACTGATGGATATTTCAGGGGATGGACGTCTGGTGGATATTTCAGGGGATGGGCATCTGATGGATATTTCAGGGGCTGGACGACTGATGGATATTTCAGGGGATGGACGTCTGGTGGATATTTCAGGGGCTGGGCATCTGATGGATATTTCAGGGGATGGACGTCTGATGGATATTTCAGGGGATGGACGTTTGATGTATATTTCTGGGGATGGACGTCTGATGGATATTTCAGGGGCTGGACGTCTGGTGGATATTCCAGGGGCTGGGCATCTGATGGATATTTCAGGGGGTGGACGTCTGATGGATATTTCAGGGGATAGACATCTGATGGACATTTCAGGGGATGGACGTTTGATGGACATTTCAGGGGATGGACGTCTGATGGATATTTCAGGGGATGGACGTCTGATGGATATTTCAGGGGATGGACGTCTGATGGATATTTCAGGGGATGGACGTCTGGTGGATATTTCAGGGGATGGACGTCTGATGGATATTTCAGGGGATGGACGTCTGATGGATATTTCAGGGGATGGGCATCTGATGGATATTTCAGGGGCTGGACGTCTGGTGGATATTTCAGGGGATGGGAATCTGATGGATATTTCTGGGGCTGAACGACTGATGGATATTTCAGGGGATGGACGTCTGATGGATATTTCAGGGGATGGACGTCTGATGGATATTTCAGGGGCTGGACGTCTCGTGGATATTTCAGGGGCTGGGCATCTGATGGATATTTCAGGGGCTGGACGACTGATGGATATTTCAGGGGATGGACGTCTGATGGATATTTTAGGGGCTGGACGACTGATGGATATTTCAGGGGATGGACGTCTGGTGGATATTTCAGGGGATGGGCATCTGATGGATATTTCAGGGGCTGGACGACTGATGAATATTTCAGGGGATGGACGTCTGATGGATATTTCAGGGGACGGACGTCTGGTGGATATTTCAGGGGCTGGACGTCTGATGGATATTTCAGGGGATGGACGTCTGATGGATATTTCAGGGGATGGATGTCTGATGGATATTTCAGGGGATGGACGTCTGGTGGATATTTCAGGGGATGGGCATCTGATGGATATTTCAGGGGATGGACGTCTGATGGATATTTCAGGGGATGGACGTCTGATGGATATTTCTGGGGATGGGCATCTGATGGTTTATATGTCTGGGGATGGACATAGGGCGGATGGGTATTTCGGGGACCTCTGATCGGTCGAAAGGAGACCAACAGACATCTAACATGATCTCAAGCGTGGTAAGGCAGGGACATATAAACTGATGGAAAAATGGAACACTTATGCTTTCATGGATTCCCAGCCTTCAGAAAAAAATGTGCGTTGGAAACAATGCACGCAAACTCATCTCAACATTTGATTCTGACATGTGTTGAATTTGTATGCCCGCTATTTCAAATGTACTGATGGTAAAGCGTATTTCCCTTCGTTCTTCATTGTATATAATGGGTACATATATGTTAATGAGCGACAGAAACAATCAAAGGACCCCTGGCCTCTACAGACACACACACGTAGCATAACCATCCTACAAACCCAAACCAAACACACGCCCACACACCTCACACATCCACCCCCACCCCCTTACATCCACACCCCACACCCTCACACCACCTAATATTGAATCCGTTAGTACTTCCCACGTCTGGAGTTGGACGACATCCTGGTTACGTCAGGTGCGTGATACGCGCTCTTTAGTGAGCGTTCACACCATGTACTCTCCCATCGAAGTATCACGTTCCGACATATTCAAGAACGGTTCTTATCCACGTAAGAAAACACTTTTTCTTACAAAGAATTCTTAACCAGGTAGGGTCGGAGCACTGTGGTGTTTTACTTGTTGAGACGAACCCGTGTCGTCAACATCATTATCTCCTCCGCATCCTTTACACCGGCGACGACGGGGAGTATACTAACGATCATGTATGTCCTCGTCTTATCGCCGTGTTCACATGGTAAATATTTGACGCATAAGACAAGTACGCTTCTTCCACAATGCTGTGCAAATATTCGCCATTGACCCGACTCTCAAGACAAGCCGAGGAGTAAAAACGCAGACGACATGAAGCACCATTGCCGCCACTGAACATGAAGTGCACGCACGCACTTTGCGTTGTTAGTCAGATCTACGTGGGAGGTCGGTGATCAGACGACTTGTGTTTTTCAGAAGGATGGATCGCGATATGGCGATAACCGGTTGTATCGGCATTTTCCTGTATGTTTAAGGTTTTCTATCCCTCTCTTGAGAGCGCAGCGTGGAGTACTCACCTCAGTGTGAACGTATAGCGTAGACGGCAACGTAAACACCGACGTCGTTCACAGGGGGGTTGAGTACAGGGTTTCTACTTTTTTAAACTATCTGGATAAATAGCAAATGTGGCCGCCATGTCTCGACGTCGCACCTGCAATATGTAAGTTATCTACCAGATCAACACACTGCATTGTCGTAAGTACTTCGTATATGGATTATCCGTACTGCAGAACGCACGGAGATCCATTCATGCAGTTCGTTTCCAGAGTTTAATGACCGACAGCCTTCGGATTCGTGGAATACATAGGTCATGTAAATTGATATTTTGTGTACATCTGTCCGAATTCCTGTGATTGACTGAAGCATTCTTTCTCCTGCATTTGTAGATGGGGGGTGAAATTGGGTTTAACGTCGCGTCGAAGATTATTGCACGGTATTCTAACTCCGAGCCAACCAGTCCTTCTTTTAGCCCCTTAATGCCAAACACCAGACACGGGAACAACAAGTATTACGTATTTTGGTATACTGCGGCCGGGGATCGAACCCCGGACCTTCCGCTCTCCGGGCGGACGCTCTATCACTTCACCGCGCAAGCGGCCCCGGCGAGGTGAAATGGGGTTGCACTCACTGGTTGTACTAGTCCGGTTTGATGCCCACTGAGATACCATATGCAGCAGTTTAACATGAATCCCTTGCATACTGACTCCGAGCCGAGCAGTCCCTGCTTTGGCCCCTTCATGCCGAGCGCCAGGCAGGGTAACAACAAGAACCACCTTTTTTAATGTCTTTTGGTATGATTCCACCGGGGATCGAACCCGAGATATTCCGCGCTCCGGACAGACGCTCTACCACGAGACCACGGAGGTGGCTAAACCAAGCATTTGCATAATATATGTACATATATATTCTGTAATATATACAGAACATAACTAAGAATGTCCATTGTGACCGGCCATGTATACAGGGACATCAAACTGAAATGAAAATAATCTGAATTAGAAGTGAGTGTGAGTATGGTTGTATGCCGCTTCATAGTACTTTTCATGCAACAATGTCATTGTGAAATGTTATTGCAGCCATCTTGTAAGTTATACCAGGGGGACTTTACAGAGAGGGGGTGGGCACTAAATAGCCATACAGTGGAGTGCGGGATTCAGTGCGGGACAGTGAGAAATTGTAATATGACCCCTAAATCGCTGGTTTCCGTGGTCACACGAAATCAGAAACAGGATAGTGCCGGGAACCAGCGAAAACAGCCGAAATTTAATCCGATAGTGTCACGTCCCTCTGTTGCTGTTTACGTCCAGCTCATGATGGTTATATCCACATCATCTAAAACAGAAACAAAATCACTCATTTCTCATTTCAGCTAGTGGTTATAACTTTCATTTAATACTAGTTTTCGCCCAACAGTGTCCCCCGCCGACAGCATGGTCTCCACGTGTCCCCCACACCACTGCATGGTCCCCCCGTGTCCCCCACATAACTGCATACATGACTACCCGCCCACCCCCCCACCCACCCACCCACCCCCCCCACCCACCCCCCACACACACACACACAAACTGCATAGTTCCTCCCAGTGTCTGCCACACCATTGCACCCCCCCCCCCCCCCCCGTGTCCCCTACACACTGCATTGTCCCCCACCCACCCCCTTGTCCTCCACACCACTGCATGGTCCTTCCCACCCCAACCCACCCCACCCCACCCCGTCCCCGTGTCCCCCACACCACTGCATGCATGACTACTCGTGTCGCCCACACCACTGCATGTCCCTAGCGGTTAAGTACTCTGACCCACACAATACACAAACCTGTCAAAATATCCAAATACGCCAGGGGGGTAGTCTGTTTAACAGACCCTGACACAACAAACATCGGCACATTCCAAAGCATGTCCACAATACTGGCAAGTCTGGAGTCTGAAAATGAAAAGAATCACTTGACTCTTTTCTATTATATATTAAATGACAAATTTACAAAACCATCTTAAATATTTTCATTTCAGACTAAATGTTAGTCTACCCAGGGGCTGACGCATCTTTGAATATGAATTTTAATTAAAGATTTTGTTCAAAAAGAAAATATTGATGTTAACTATAAGTTCATTTTACGTAAATACCTAATTTTAACATGAATCTGTTGTCAGTAGTCGGAACTATTGATAAACCATTTATCTAAATACATATTTCCCCAACTTAGGCGTAAGTAAAGTATAAATACAGAGCAGTTCGCATAGTTGAAGTTATAAATTCAGCTTACCATTTGTGTTATCTTCCTTCGTAAGATATGGAAATTTAAAATCGTTTGGCGAAAATGGCAAAACCAATCTCACAAACCGCCATCTGTGAAAAACTAAGGCAAAGAACACCCGCTCACTGTTTCTATGTAGGTGGTCCGCCATTAAGGACTTAATATGACTATCTTTCATATAAACATATATGTTTCATCCACCAGCCAATATTCCCCCTGATTGAGACAAATGTAGTTACTTCAAGTCATCTTAACCTTGACTGTATGTCGGTAACGTATGTCAAAACAAGTTTATCAAACCAATTAAGTTAAATTGAAACGCCCGTAAATGACCCTAGGATTGCGCGGCGAAAAAATAGTTCGTTATTACCTACTCTCACACGACGCAAATTCCTACGCATAATACTGAATTCTTATTCTTGATTGAAAGCATCATGGATTGATAAATTAGGTTTATACACCTTATAAACTTATTTTCCTTCATAAGATAAACCAACAAGGGAGGCATTCTCGGCAACGGTAAATGAGATACAATTAGAAAGAGGCCCACACACGATGCTAACGGTAATCGCTCTGCCCCGAGCGTGTAGAGCGAAAATTTGATTACTACAAATCATTCCGGAGCCGAAGGGTCTGCCGGAGGTAGCACAAGACGAGATCTCGCGAGAGCCATCCTGCCATATTGTTCCTGAGTTGCTGCCTCGTTTGGATCGCTCAGTATATATTCGTCTTGTATGTTCTGACAGGCTTATCGTCAACCTCTGATAATAATTTGTTCAAGAAGTGCAAATACCGAAAAAATAAAATCTCTAATGACAAATTCTATATTTAAAATTATATTAAAAAGAAAATTAAATTTATTCTATATTTATTTTTGAATAATAATATGAAACAAGTTTTAATATTTATTCCTCTGTATCAAAGTTAATGTAGTATTAAAAACTATATATATATATATATATATATATATATATATATATATATATATATATATATATATATATTATATGTGAATATTGTGATTACCTGGGCAGTTAATACAAGATCCGCGTACCAGAAACCTATGATAATGGGTTCGAACCCCAGAATCTCCCTTATTATGTATCTAGATTTGTGAGCACCAACCCGGGGCGGTCGGGTAGCCTAGTGGTTAAAGCGTTCGCTTGTCACGCCCAAGACCCGGGTTCGATTCCCGACATGGGTACAATGTGTGAAACCCATTTCTGGTGTCCCCCGCTGTGATATTGCTGGAATACTGCTAAATGCGGCGTGAAACAATATTCACTCACTCAGCACCAAACCGAGCTTGTGGCTTTCACCAAAGTGCTGAAAGGCTTAGAACTACATGCCCTAGGTGTAACTGAAATAATGTTCAAAGCAGTGTTACATACAACTCACTCATCAAATGCCAGTTTTTGATGAATGCTTTAATAGTGTTTATACGTAGACTACAAACTCATACACATGTCAAACTTGCAAAAAGTGGTGATTTTTGTGTTGATAGTGCCCTGTGAAGAGGGTCATCTAAGGGAGCGCCCCCTATGTTCACATGTCATTACCACTAATATATGCATGTGCATGCACACATATAGGGCCATACACACCAGGTACACACGCGCCCACCTGCAGTCGGAGCAGAGGTTGTGCCAGTATTTGCCTCTCACGGGGTACACAATATGGCTTGTGTCACAAGTGTATGAATGCATCCGTGATTCGTACACTAGACAAAAGACAAAACATATGAAGCCAATTAAATCAAATTAAACTTGAGCTGAAGAAACGGCTGCACTTATGGTAAAATTCATGATTCAACATTCAAATATTTTTCTGATATATGCACTTGCCATCTCTCAAGCAGCCGCGTCCTGGATGAATCTAGGGTGATTTCAATAGTCCATAATAATAATAATAACGCACAAGAAACTGGACATTCGTTACAAAGCACGAGCGTGGGAAATTGGCGAGTATTTGTAACAAATGTCCAGTTACGCGTTCGCAATCAAACTTAAACTAAAGTATCAAAGGAACAAAATACTTCGTAATTGGAGCCTGAAAGTTAAAATAAATCAATAAATAAATGAAAATAAATACAAAACAATATACAAATTTCAGGCAGTTCATTCGTAATGTACATCTGAATCTTTACTTTGTGCTTGGAAATCCGTTTAGACTAACATTCAGTCTTTATCACTCGCTTGATAAAGGTGTTAGGATCTACACCGAAACGTCGCACTTATTGTAATAAAGAAGTTGTTCATCCATAGAACTTGTCTTTCCTCATCACACCAACTTCTAAATGCCACTGAAAGAAGTTATGAAATCTTATATTACACAATACCCTTCTTGACTCTAAAAAATATTTTTTTTAAATTCCCTTTGCTGATTTTTTTTATGTGGAATAGAGCTAGCTAGAACTGG